GGGCCGGCCAATGGTTTGTGCCATGCAAACAGAACAAGCCTATTTTCCACGGAATCAGCCATTGAGCCCATTCTCCGAAAACCATCAGGGGACGCATGCATTGGCGCTGGTATAGAAGGAAGACCCTGTAATTTTTCCCGTTCTTCCTTTCTTTTCTTTTTCTATTCCCCTGTGTGTTGTTTTTCCTGGCATGCCATTTCTCTTAGGTAGCCTTATGATGGGCGCAGAAAGATCTCCCGACCTTCGGGCTTGAACAACTACTGTGCTCTGAGTCGCCCCGTTACGGTTTGGTAACCTTCATCGAAACTTTGCAGACCTTCATCGAAACTTTGCTAAATGAGCATAGCGGATGGTAAGTCTCAGCCCAAGAGAAGCAGAGAGATCGGTGAAGATGTACAGTTGCATATCTGACTTTTCTCATCGTTATTTAAGATTTCGATGCCCCCCCCCCTCTCACTTCTACCGAACCACACATTCTGTCTGTCTAATCGTTTGCCTAACTCGGCTCATCGCACTCATGACCTCTATAAATTCTCTTCTGAACCCCGATACCTCGTGCCCCAGTCTTAACCCGGGGAGCCTACAGCGTGGATTGTCTTTACAGACACCCCGCTCAGAAAGGACGAAGGTCCCCAAAGATCAGCCTTCATTCAGGAGGGGCAAAATCCAGGGCGAAGTTCGCTATCGTGTTCACGATGAGCGCGATGAAGAGCTCAAGAAGATCCACTTGAAGCACAAGCTATACCCCATGGGCAACATAGCAGACTTTCCGGACCGCATTCCCTACACTAGCACAAAAAGGTCATTCAAGGAGCGGACAGGGCGAGAACGATTTGAAGGTGATTGCTCATTATCCTACTTCAAGCCATACGTTGACCGGAAGAGTTTCCCATAGTTTTCCACTACACGTTCGAACTGCCCGACAGCCCCAAAAAGTGGGTGATAACGTGGGATTATAATGTCGGGCTTGTTCTCACAACAGCTCTTTTTAAGTGCAATGGCCATCCAAAGGTGTGTCGTCCTACTCTGTGCGTAATAAAGCATATCTGATGGTACCAGACCGCTCCCGCCAAGGTGTTGAAAATGAACCCGGGCCTCAGCGAGATCACTTACAGCATCACGGGTGGCGCACTCGTCGGACAAGGTAAGTTTGAGTTTCCATTCAGACACCTCCACTAACTAAAATCAAGGATACTGGATGCCATTTAGGGCTGCCAAAGCGCTAGCAACCACATTCTGCTGGAATATTCGTTTCCTCCTAACGCCCATGTTCGGCCTCGACTTTCCCGCGCAGTGTATACCCCCAAACGACGCCCGCTTTAACAATATGATCATCGATCCGAAAATAGTTCGTCAAGCCACGGAGGATGTGGCGTACTATCGCAGCCTGGAGCCGCAGGTCCCCAGACGTGGAGGTCATCAAAACTCCCAAGAACTCGACCGAGACCCAGAGTACAACACCCGAAAACCGTCGCCTTGCCAGCAGAAATGTCAGAGTGTCTCTCCGCAAGATACCTATTGCGGTTCGCCAACAAGCAGCTCCCAGAATACATATATGCTGGCCAATACCCCCTACACCTCCGACGAAAGTATCTCACCACACGCAGTTTTCGAACGTGGGATGCGAGAGGAATTCCGGTCAGAGACAAGCTCGCAATTTACCTTTTATGGTTCCAGCTTATCGAGCAACCACCTCTCCGATGACGACCACAAGAGAGACAGTCAAGTTGAACCGCAAGAGAATTACTATAGCAGCAACTTATCCTCGGCTGATGTCATCTTGGCTACTGGAATGGTTGATGCCTGCTTCTGGCAGCCAACGTATACTTGTGAGCCTGAGGCTCCCTTGGAGGGTTCCAGGACAGCCATTGCCGCACATGCACTAATGGATTTGCGCAATAGCGGGTTCAGATATGAAACGTTGTAAGTTGACAACACGGTTCCATGCATTCGCTCAGTACCGCTTCCTATCTGTGGTCATATTTGAAAATTTGCGCATGTGCTGTTGATTGGATGGATGGATGGCGTTGTGGTTTCTTAGGACATGTAATGGCGCTGATTATGTATTGCAATTAGACTTGGTATGGTTGTTTATAGATTGTTCTTTATGTATTGTCGTAGGTGTAATTAGACCCGAGGTATGATCGTAATTGTTGGAACTATGCCGAAGGGTATTGATATTCAAAGCCAGTCACCAAGTAGAATGCTCTGCTTCCCAATCTTCACATACCTTTCCTCCTAGATCAACTGCACCTACCGCCAGACTTCAGAGGAGGCCCCTAGAGTGGTGCAATGAAGCAGTACATACTGCAACTGTTATTCTTTCCTCCTTTCCTCCGAACCAAGCTAAGCATGTACTCCCGACTCTCGCACACCACGATCCAGTTAAAGTAAGGCAAATCAAGTCGATACCAACATCATCCACGTAAGCAGGATGGCTACGAGATAGTTAATTTATCGACGACAGCTTGTCTGAGCTTTAAATGTGGGACGGGAGATACAGACAGACAGAGAGAGAGAGAGAGAGAGAGAGAGAGAGAGAGAGTGTGTGTGTAATCATCATCAAATTAAATTAGCTACTAATAATCTATCATCTATCTATGTATCTAATAAATCTATCCATCCTCCCACCCATATATACATCTAGATCGATATCCCATCTACTCGTTTTTGAACCATCCTTCATTATTCTCATCTCCATCTCCATGCTCATCGTCATCTTTACCCTGTAACTCATCAAATTTAAACAGCATACCGACTCCACCCCCGAATCACCACACCATACCGATAGAACACATACGGAACGGGCGTCATCAAGGCACTAATCGCCCCCAGGATCGTCAACGTCCAATGCACCCCCATATTACTATAGAACGGAATGCCCACGACTGTCATCCCGCCTGCCGCGCAGTAGCGGGACACTGTCATGAAGCCCAGCGCAGAGGCGGCGTAGATGTCGTATGCGTCGATGACGTACATGTATGACGAGATGAAGACGCAGATAGTGCCGAAGCCGAAGACGGTGGATGCGATGATGGGGGACCAGATTGAGATAGAGCTCTATTTTTTAATTTATTAGTAACGGGGGGTGAGGGGTATAGATATAAGGAGAGGAGGGAGGGGATAGGGGGACGTACGTAGTCAGTCCATCCCATCCAGAATAAACCGATGGGAATGGCGGGGGCGCCGAGCATGGCGAACCAGAGGCGGTTCTCGGGACGAGCGACGTGTTTGTGCTGTTGCTGGGTGGGCTTCTGAGTGTCATCGTCGTCGGTGGTAGTAGGGTCGTCAAGGTTGGGTTTCTCATTGGCATCGGCGTTGGCGTTGGGATCGGCAGCGACTATTTCCGGACTGGCCGATCGGGGGGACGCCGCTGCAGATGCAGCAGCGGATGCAGCCGCGTCGGAGAATTCACGCTTTGTCCAGACGTACACGACGGGAACGAAAAAGCCGGCCATTGAGATGCCGACGTACATGGCGACCCAGACGATGTTGGTTAGGCCCTGGGAGAGGCCGTGCACGTCGGAGAAGATGTACGTGTATCCGTCGAAGAAGGTGAAGAGCACGATGTAGATGACGGTCATGTAGAGAGAGATCAGCAGGATGATGGGTTCGTGGATGGTCAGGGCGAATTGTCGCATGCAGGCGCTTCCGATGCGAGAGAATAGCGCCGTCTCCTGGAGATCCATCGATGAGCGGTAGCGGTTGTCGCCCGTTTGGTGGCGGAGGTGGTGTGCCTTCCATTTCAGGAGTAGGGGGCCGTAGGTCTCGGGCTGCACCAGGAGGATCAGGGCCAGGATGAAGCCTGCCAGGATGAGAATGATCCAGTTGGTCCAGCGCCAGGAGAGCGTGCCCTCGCCCATGTAGGACGCGATGACGGGGCCGAGGACGGGCCCGCCGAAGGAGAGGATAGCGTAGAGAGGGAAGAAGAGCGTTTTCTCCAGGGGGTTCCAGAGGTCGGCGATGGTACCGCCGGCGCAAGTCAGCGGCGGGCAGCCGAAGATGCCAGCCAGGAAGCGGAAAGCGAGCTGTGCGCCGATATTGGGGGCTAGTCCTGAGGCCATGACGAAGATCATGAATAGCGTGAGGGAGCCGGTATAGACAGCGTTGCGGCCTAGGATTTCGGATAGAGGTCCGGAGACGAGCGAGCCTGCTGCGAAGCCCAACAGGTACATACCCGTTGCAAGCGATGCGACGACGTCGCTGACGTGAAAGGCTGCTGCGTTCTGGGGAAGCACGCCGGATTCGATAGATGAAGCCGCACCGACGGCGAAACCCAGGGCGGACACCATCAGGGTTGCGCCGATGCGGGTGGTGCGGCTGTAGTTGCGCGGATTGATGGGATCATGGTCACCGTCCCAGTCGACGAGAAAGACGGATGAGGAGGTGCCATCGTTCTCAACTACGTCCTTCGGCTGCACACCTGGCAGCAACGGACTAGAACGGCGGCGTGAACCTGTGTTAGGAGCGTCTCCGGAAATCCCCTCCGGCAGGTCATCTTTGGCGACACCTGGTCGGGCAAACTCCGGGAAATCTTCGAGTTGTTTGCGCACGGCATGGCCAATGCGGCGGTACTGAAGATAGGCCTGCATGGAGGGGGGATGTCTGTCAGCGGGAGATGCACAGGAAGAGAAGAAGGAAAGGAAAGGAAAAGGAACAGACGAGAGAACCACCTTGGAGACGAAGAGTACTACGCAAATCCTGGAACTAAAGCATTGCTGAATAATGGCCAGGCCAGTCTCGGTCGATAATTAAGGTCCGGAAAGACGCAATCACCTTTCAACGGCGGGTCTTTCTTTCTCGAAAGGCAAAGAAAAAAAGAGACTTCAAAGTCAAGCCTTGGATTTGGTGGATCCCCAAAGTGGAGCCTGAGTGGAGCCTGGGGCCACACTTTCCTCGGACTTCTCGCCGACTTCTCTATTTTTCGTTCTACAAACAACCCATCCGAGATAAGACTTCGGAGTTAACAAATGGAAATTCGACTGCATTATCATATCTGGTGAAACAGTAGCAAACGAATAATAGTAGTAGTAGTAGTAGTAGTAGTAGTAGTAGTAGTAGTAGTAGTAGTAGTAGTAGGTACAAAACGATTCGATAGAAATTAGTTTACGTCCAAGTGTATGTACTCTTCTCGCCACATCTTCCTTCTTCTACTCGCTGTCCTCTGCGAAATCATCCCCCGAATCTCCTCCGGCTCCAAAGTCATCACTGTCATCATCAATCACGTACGTCTTCTTCTTGGCCGTTGCCGTGCGCCGCGATGGCCGGGTAGTAGGCGCCGCGGGAGAATCCAAGATATCATTAGCCATTGCATCAATGTCGTCGTCCGACAAGTCATCCGCCAGCTGCTTCTTCTTGGTGGTCGTCTTGGCTTGCTTGGAAGCGTAAGCCTTGGCTGCTGGCGACAGCGCCGTCTGCTTAGCAGATGCGGCCGTAGTGGTGGTGGCATCCTTCTTGGGTCGGCCTCGTGGCTTCGCGGCCGGTTTGGCTGCTGCCGCTGCCTTGCCTCGGGCCGCCGGCTTGGCCTTGGTAGCGGCCGGCTTCACTGGCTCCTCCTCCTCCTCCTCGTCGCTGTCAACTAACGTCTTGGTCTCCTTGGACTTGACCTGCAGCGACCGGCGCGGAGAGCTCTGTGGCACTAGCTTGCTGTAGTCAGTCTCGTCGGCGTCAAAATCGGGAGACTGCTTTGAGGCCTTGGAGCTGCTGGCCAATCCCGAGGTGCTGCCGGCCCCAGAGCGCTCCGAGAACAGCTGACGGGAATCCGATGTCGATCCGCCGGTAGTACCGCCGATCCCCTTGACCATCTTGCTCACGTCGCCCAGGAGGTCGTCCCCGTTATCGCTGTCCGAGTCATCCAAGGTGTACTTGGCCGGTTTGCGCGCTCGGCTGGGCGCTGGATCAGCCTTGGTAGTCTCGGCAGCTTGCGCTTTGGTGATTTCCATGAACTCATCGTCGTCCAGCTCGATCTCGTCCTCTGCTGGCTTGGCCTTGGCTTTGGCCGCCGGTCGGCCCCGTTTGGTTGGTGCCTTTTTCACCTCAGAGGTATCGGTATCTTCAGCCTTTACTTTCGAGGCAGCCTTAGGTGCAGCCCGACTTTTCTTCGGCAGGACTTCTATATCGGAGTCGCCTGTCTCTTTCTCTTCTTCCTTCGCTGGCGCTGCCGGCTTGCTGGCCCCGCGGTTCTTCTTCGGCATCACCTCCATCTCAAAATCATCGTCATCATCATCATCCGCTGCAGGCTTGGGCTTAGGAGAAGTCTTGTTCAAGAAACTGTGGAGCGTGCCCTTAGGCTCCGCCTTCTTGGGACCGCGCTTGCTCTTTGGCGCGGCAAAGTCTTCATCATCCGAGTCATCATCCTTTGCAGCCTTACGCTTGCGGGCACCGCCACGGCCCACAGCTGTCATCAGCTTGGAGGAGGTACGACGGCCCATGTTTGCCACCTTACGCATGCGACGAGCTTCATCGTCGAGCTGGAAGCGCCATTCGTTGATGAAGTCTTCCAGATCCCGCTTCCAGATATCTTCCTTGGAAAGCTTGATCAAGGTGTCGATTTCCATCTCCTTATCACCAATCTGGCGACGCAGGCGCTCCACACGCTCCTGGGTCAACGACCAGATCGCCATACCTAGCAGGTAGTCATACGCGTTGGAGAGGTTGTTGGTATCATCGACATCTTCGGAGTCTTCCTCATCTTCAGCAGCTGGCTCAGCTTCCCCTGCCTTGGCAGCATCCGCCACCTTGGGGAATGGCTTGAAGCCCTTCTCCTTCAGCTCCACGACGAGCACGCTCTTCTTCTTCTTCGAAACGACCAGCTCGCCGTCGATGATCATCTGCACAAAGCGCGCCTGGTTGCTGAGCTTCTCCAGCTCCTTTTGCATTTCGTTGAGTTGATATTGCTAAACTTCGGTGTTAGTAGACCTTACAGTAGCATCGAGAGTAGTATGGGAATGCCTACCTTGCGGCGCTCGTAGAACTTCAGACGGACTGCGAAGAACTCCTTCAGGATGTCGTCCACGGTCGCATACTTGGTGATCCGACCCTCGGGGTCAAAAGCGACCAAGTTCGTGGTGGCGATGGTCTTGGTCAGCTTGAACTTGTCTTCCAAGCCTTCTTCGACGGCAGACTTCAGATGCTTCTCATCCATCTGGATCACAAAGTGAACCTTGGTGTGCGTGTTGTAATCCTTGTAGTCCTTGATGAACGACGGTGTCTTTTCCGCCTTGATGATATCTTCAAGCTTATCCTTAAAATCCTGAGTCCAAGTTCGGATGGGCAATTCGGTGATCTCCACTTCCTTCTCTCCGGTCTCCTTGATGATACCGCTGAACTTGTAGCGATCACCGCCAATAGAAGTGACTTCACCGGTGAATCCACGGAACCAGGGCTGCATAGGCTTGATCTCTTCGCCATCCATCAGCCGCTTCAGGTTGTCCACGACGTCCTCCGGGTTGTAGTTGGGAATAGAGGAACTCCAACCGGTACCAATACCGTCCGCACCGTTGATCAAAATCATGGGAACCACCGGCATGTAAATCTCAGGCTCGATAGTCTTGCCATCGTCGATGTTGTAGGTCAGCAGAGGCTCATCCGACGCATGGAAGACGCGGCGCGCGAACGGGGACAGCCGCGTGTAAATATAACGTGCACTAGCGCAGTCGGAACCACCCTGAAGACGACTACCAAAGTTACCGCTAGGTTCCAGGCAGTTGATGTTGTTAGATCCAACAAAGGTCTGCGCCAGGCCAACAATGGTTTGCTGCAAGGAAACATCACCGTGCTGGTACGCGGTCATACCCGAGACGTGACCAGCCAACTCGACGACCTTCATATCCTTTTTCAAATTGCGACGGAAACAGGTGTACAGAACCTTACGCTGACCAGGCTTCAGACCGTCAACAACAGAGGGAATCGAACGAACATTGTCCGCCATACTGAACAGGATAAGCTCCTTGTTAATAAAGTCGGTGTAGGAAATCTTCTCAACGGAATGATCCAAGAAGGTTCCGGGCTTGAACTGCCGCAGCCACTCCTTACGCTCATCAGCCTTCTTCTTCGAGAAAGCCAGCTCGATCAACTCCGCCTCGTTATCCTGCATGGTGTGGAACTCCTTCAAGTGACGGTCCAAGTCGCGGAAGTAGACCTGGGCATCTTCAGTAGTACTGGTACCCAAACCCTTGTAGTACTTGTGATCCCAGCCACGCTCATGTTTGTGCTCCTCCGCCCATGCCTCGTACTCGGGCATAGTGAAGAAAGAACGCTGCTTGGTAGGATTTTTGGGATCACCCTTCCACACCTTGACAATGGGAGTGATGAATTCAATCAAGAATTCGGGAATCTTCAGCAAACTAGGAAACTGGGCCTGTAGGAAGTTGATGAGCAGGCCCTTGATGTGACTACCGTCGTGATCCTGATCAGTCATGATCATCAAATGACCGTACCGAAGGCCGCGGGTGTCAGTATACTCCTTCTTGTGCTGCAGACCCAAGAAGTTCTTGATATTCTGGATTTCCTGGTTCTTCGAGATCTGGTCGAAAGAAGCATCACGGACGTTGAGCAATTTTCCTCGAAGCGGGAAAACACCAAAAAGATCCGGACCAACAACCGCTCGACCAGCCATGGCCAGACCCTTGGCCGAGTCACCTTCTGTCAGGATCAGGGTGCAGTGATGGCCGTCCTTGGTTCCAGCCTTGTTGGCATCCGTCAACTTGGGGTTGTTCATGCGGGAGCGCCGGCCACCGTCCGTCTTTTTGAGCATCTGATCGGCCTTCTGCTGGGCGAAATGCAAGATGTTTTCCATGACCGCTGTCTTGAGAATCTTCTTGTAGAAGTCTTCATCAAGCACACATTTACTACCAAATTGAGAAGCCTTGGTCGTCAATTGTTCCTTGGTCTGGGAGGTGAATGCCGGGTTAACAATCAGTGCATTGACGAAGATGAAGATGTGGTTTCGGATCTGGGCTGTTTTCAAAGTGGCTCCGTTTTTGTTCTTCTTTTTCACTTGCTCGGCCAATCTGTTACAGATCTGGTCGGCAATGTAGTTGACGTGGGTACCTCCAGAGGTGGTTGCAATGGAGTTCACGAAGGATACCTGCTGGAAAGCGCCATCGGAAACGGCGAAACCGACCTCCCAGCGAGGGTCTGGGCTGCAGGTGATGATCTCGTCCTTCGGGGCGGGACCAGTATCTCCACGTTCCTTACGGATAGCCTTGGTGTACATCTCCATGTACTTCTTGAAGCCACGGATAGGGATGCGAGAGCCGTTCAACTTGACATTCACCTTTGCGGTTCCTGCCAGGTCATACACACGACGCTTGACGAGAGCCTCGAAGTCGTCATCCATGCCGTCCATGCTAAATTTGGCGTAGTCCGGCTTGAACGTGACCTTGGTGTAGTCTTCACCCTTGGCCTCAGTGATCTTTGCCTTGCCAATCTTGGTCATGTTGTCCGTCCATGTCTGCCTGTACTTCTTCTTCTGAGACGAGTCCTGAGTTTCGATGGAAAACTCAGTGGAGAAAACGTTACAGAGCTTGGCACCGAAACCGTTACGACCACCGGTCACCTTCTGCTGCGTGTCGTCGTAGTTGGAGGAGGTGAGGAGATGACCAAAGATCAGTTCGGGGACGTAAATCTTTTCCTTCGCATGCATTTCGATGGGAATACCGCGGCCATTGTTCCAGACACTGATCACGCCCGACTCACGGTCGACCGTCACGCGGATCTCGCTCATATTCTCGTCATTCTGCTTATTATCGGCTGCGTTGACGACAATCTCATCGAAGATCTTGTAGAGACCGGGCACATAGGAGACCTCGCGGTACTCCATTCCCTCCGACTCTGAACTGTATACCCACATTTGCTGCGTCGTGCGTTCGACGGAACCAATATATGTATCCGGACGTTTAATGATGTGTTCGAGTTGTGTAAGCTATACAAGCCATTGTTAGCCCAAGTTTGGCCCAGCGACGCCGGAAATACTTGCCTTCTGGTACTTCTCTGATGCATTGGTGGACTTTCCGGGCTCTACAGAGTCATCTTTTCCAAATGATTCATTTTCGACATCGGCGAGAGGCTTAGCGCCACCCTTCTTGGAGGGGCCAGCAGTCTTCTTCGCTTTCTTGGGAGGGGTGTGCGACAGAACAGAGTCGTCGGACATGTGATCGTCATCGTCGTCCATGTTGTCGTCGTCATCGCTATCCGGCTTGGCACGTTTTTTCGAAGCTGCCTTGGATGTGGTCTTCGTAGTGAAAGTGGTCTGGGTGAGCTTCTTAGGCGCAGCCTTAGAAGCTGCCTTCTTGGGGGCTGCCTTGGCCTTGGGCTTCTGTAGTTATGATGAGCTCGCTGCGTCCAAACAAGGAGGCTGAGATGAGACGTGATACGTACCGGAGCGGGCTCGGGAACGAAGTCGGAGCTTCCTTCGTCGTCGAAGACGGAGTCGTCCATGATCGAATCGTCCATTATGAGGGGGAAACGCTTCGCACGCGCAGGTCAAGGGAGGCGAATAAGAAAAGGAGGCTAAGGAGTGACGGGAAGGGCGAAAATTTCAGCGAGAGAAAGATATATGAAAGAACAACCTGCAACCAGCGAGGCCGTAGAAGAAATAGGGGACAAGTAAGTTACGAGAGCAGCCAATTCCCCAGATAGGCTACTTTTTGTCGACCGTGTGTTGTTTGTTGTCGAAGTCTTTGTTGACGCGCTCAATGCGACGCTGCGCTGCGGCAGAGAAACAGTTCTGGCCGCTGACCGCCCTCGGATCAACCTCGGACCGCTACTGGAGTGGCGCCGATGTGGCTCAAAGAGGAAATCTCCAAACACTCGGGCCCAAAGCGGAAGGCACGACCAAAACATGCAAGGCCGGCGCGGGGGAGGGGGATTCATCAACAACATAAAGAAGTCACTAACACCGGGCAAGGTTATTCTTAGCACAAAGACCTACATAACATGCAGAGAACAAGGGATGCCATGCAATTGCTGTTCAGCCCCTTCCTACTATGAAGAAAAATTATTCACTCACTTTGACAGCTGCCACCCATGTTGTGGCGGTTGCCTCGGACACTGAAAGGTAATGAATAGGGGACCCTCAGTAGACCGACGGACACCCAAATTACTTTTGTGTTGATAAAATATCATTCATTGGATACAATCACCTCTACGGGGATAAATTAGAAATGTCTTCCAGTAACACATCAGCGCTCACTACCATCACTAGTAGTGCTTTACAGTGTCGATGTGATAGACAAGTGTTGGGCATGCTGGTACCACAAGATGAGAAATATATATTCATTCTGCATCATGTAATAATCCTCTTTTTACAAATCCTTTGGGGGACTAAGTTGTACTACCCTGTAGTGACTATGAATAAGCCTCCCAGATCTGTCAAGATGCTAGAGCTTCAATAGTATCTGCAAATCAATAAAGAATACTAACTACAATGTCAGCTATCCAACTGACTCAATCTTCCCTTCACTTTCCTCCCCTTCTTGCGGCCTTCTAGAAGCCTGGCGGAAGGCTAAGTGTTAACCCGGAACGGTAAGTTTCGCAGTGGGTCTAAATTCAGCCAATAAACGCAGCCAAGACATACGATCTGACCAATTAACAGAAGCCAAACAAGACTTGAACCAGATGAAACTGGTCATGTAATGTTTTCAAACAGGAGTCAGGGGCCCCCATCTCACCACAACAGCATCCTTCTCTCACCACTGGCCAGATGCTGTCGAAGGGGCGGTTACTCCGACACTGACTCCTCGAGATCTTTTCACAGATAAGCCAGCTACGACGATTTAGCCTTGCGATTTGCGGTCCAAAGGTCCAACGTCCCATCTAGCCCCTCCGTGACCCCTCCTCGAGCCCGTCTCTAGTGGATCAAAGTGCACCGGCCGATAAAAATACTGCACCAGATGGGGTCGTGGATCGACCGGCCCTGAGCGAAACGACGGTAGGGCCATGGGATATTGCGCTGGCATCACTAGTGTAGACATTCGACCCTTCGAGAAATCACCCGCGGGAGAGAAGGAGGGCAGCCCGGGTCGATCAGGGAATTCCACGGTTCGCCGTCCGTGGAGAATGGCTTCAGTTGGATCGGATGGTGATAAGCAACTCCAGATCGTGAGGAGAATCTACGTAATTCCAAAGAATGTTGCTGCAGTGGTATGTTATACAGTGTAATAGAAAGCCAAAGTGTATGGCAGTAATAAGCTGTAGATTGGACAGTAGTCTGGGATGATTATTGAAAATCGATCGACGGGGCGAGAAGAATGGGGGGAGGTGAGTGGCCCGCCGACAAGTGTGCCCCTGAAGGACTGAGAAGGAGGGAACCTGACAGGTTAATGGCAACTGTTAGTGTCGGGGACTAACCGTCGCCAAACGCTAATAATACTCGCGACGCTCCTGATCCCTTCCCCCCCCCCCCATTTGGCCTGGGAAACCAAAATCACCGCCGTTTCCTTCCCTTGCCTCTGCTCGTCATTCTTCTTTCTCTCTGGCCCCTCAATTCCACGCGCTGGTACTTGCCATCGATCACCCCCTTCTGCGCCGGAGAGATATGCTGTCGTTATTGACAGCCCCTCCCTCGACTGTCCGCCCTCCTTATCGTGTCTGGCTGCTGGCTTAACCCCGACACCCTGACACCCACCCCTAACATCTCGATCTTCCCGAGGAATGCGCCTTTGACACCGGCATTCAACATCACAGCCCAATCAGGAACGCAATGACCATGGAGAACGCCGATCGCTCCCCCTCCCACGTCTATTCGGACTCCGTCAACACTGGGTCCCACGATACCGACTCAATGGTCACCGTGCCATTGACCTCCAATTCCGAACACACCCAACCCGACTGGCGATCTCTCAACATCCCTCAAACCCCTGTCGACGTGACATCTCCAACCCGGGAGCACTCGAGCGACGAAGAGGACGAATCCAGGACAACCCCGACCCAGGAACCTGCAAAGGCCGACCTAGAACAGAGCTCCAATAATGGCGATGCTACCTCGATACGGTCCCGCAGTAGTGAGGAACGGGACCGGAGCGATGCAGTGGATTGGGAGGAGCTGGAAAAGACGGAAGAGCAGGAACCCCGTTGTGAAGGGTCGGATGAGGTGCGTATATCTAGTCCGAAAGATTCAAGATGCAGCAGTTGACGTGTACCAGTCCACTGCCCTTCTCTTAGCGCGACTGGAGCAGGAAAACAACGCTCTTGCGACGAACCCCAAGTCGGCTCTGGCAAGCAAGTCGCATGCGCAGCGAGTCACCCGACCGTCTCGCTCGCAGTCTCTGCACCAGATCAAGCGACTGATCGACGAGGACCCCCGATCATCACTACGCTACTCCCAGCTGCCTCCTCCGCCAATGACCGAACTCGAGTTCTGGGCAGCGCTGGTCGCAGATTATCCCCAAACGGCCCAGAGACTACCTACATTGACCTCGAACAAAATCCGGAGCGGTGTTCCGCCACCACTGCGTGGTGTGGTGTGGCCCAGCTTGGCGGGCGCCCGGGATAACACATTGTTGGCGGAATACCAGCGATTGTGTGGCGAGACGAGTCCCTACGAAGGGCTCATCGGCAAAGATATTGGCCGTAGCTTTCCCAATGTGGAGATGTTCCGGGATCCTAACGGGGAGGGGCAGCAGATGCTCGCACGGGTGCTGAAATGCTTCAGTTTGTACGACACGAAGATCGGCTACTGCCAGGGATTGGGCTTTGTCGTTGGTCCCTTGCTGATGCACATGACGGATGCAGAGGCGTTCTGCGTACTCGTTAGGTATGTATATAAGCAAGCTGCAGCGTGCACTTCGGAGCTAACCGGCGCTCAGGCTGATGGACCATTATGACTTGCGGACCTGCTACCTTCCTGATCTCTCCGGGCTTCATCTGCGCGTCTACCAATTCCAGAATTTGTTAGCTCGCCTGCGACCTGGCTTGTTCGCACACCTTGAGATGCTGCATGTTGAACCGGTCTACGTATCGCAATGGTTCTTGTCCTTCTTCGCAGTCGCGTGCCCGCTGCCCATGCTTCTCCGAATCTACGACGTTATCTTCCTGGAGGGTGCCTGTGAGACATTGATGCGGGTTGCTCTCTCTCTGATGACGCGGAATGAGAAGAAGATTATGGCATGCGCAGAATTCGAAGATGTCATGCAATTGTTGCTTTCGAGGAGCCTGTGGGACACGTAAGTCATCAGCCAAGCCAATTACGAATTAATCTAATTCCTACAGGTATGCCTGTCATGCGGATGACTTCGTGAACGACTTTGTGTCTCTCACGTCGCTTGTCACAAAGGAAAGCCTCCAGGCTCTGGAAGCTAGCTATAATCAATCACAGGGCGTTCCAACCGGTATCTCGTTCCCTCAGATGCAGGCAGCAGCTTCTCGATTCCTTGGGCGACTCTGGGCGGGATCTAACTCACACAATTCCGTCAAGTCCATCAGTCTCAATCCCAACAGTGCAAGCGCGTCCAATCTGGCCAGCATCCGGCGGTCAACGTCCAAACAGAGCATGACATCAACCCTCAATTCTGTGGAGTCGGCCTCGGACGCCAGCACCGCGCCGACGGAACTGTCGACGGACGTACAAAAGCCACGTGCAAAATCAGCCATATCCCAACACAAGGATCGCGACCTCCACACACAGATCGAGGATCTCCTCATGGCCCTCAGCGACCTTCAACGCCAACACGCCGATCTCACGCGAGAACTGCAGCAAGAACGGGAGGAGCGCGAGGAAGACCAAGTCCTTGCCAAGTCAATGCTGCAATACATCAAAGAGACATCTGAAGAGCCACCGATGGATTTAGTCCACAAAGCCGACGCGAGATTCGCCATGGTCGAAACGCACAGGGTCGTCTCGACCGACCAAACCAAGCACCAGCTGCGTGACGACCTCAACCGGTACAAGGAGATGCATGAACTAGAATCAAACCGATGCAAGAGCTTGACGCGCCGGATTGATGAGCACGAGAAAGAAAACACATCCCTTCGAGAACAACTCCGTGAAGCGCGAGGCCGTATTCAAGACAGCTACCGTGAGCGCCAGCGGTTAGAGCGAATGGTCCGGGAGCTACGCACGGTCAAAACCAAGACCCGGAATTCTGACACGGCGCCATCCGAAACCTACGGCTCCCCAACCAGCGATACCAGCGAAGGCTACACCAGCACCGGTCTCCGAGAACTGAAACTTGTCCGCACCAACTCACAAAAGAGCCAAAAGAGTACCACAAATTCGACGACATTTACCAAACGATCCAGCAGCCTGGGACTGCAATCCGTCCTTGCAACCGAGAACAACAAGCCGGCAGCGGAGGAATCCCTACTGCTTGAATTAGTCAATGCAAAAACGGCAGAAGCAGTCGCACGTCAGGAACTTGAAGAAGTCAAAGGCAAACTGGACTCGATGCGGAAGGTCATGGCCCGGAACGGAATCATCCCCGAAGGACGACATTCATTCCTGGGCAGGCCACCATCCATTGCCAAGGCGCCGACAGAGCCAGCATCAAATGGTGGCGGATTGTTTAGTGGATGGGGAAGGCGTGCTGTATCCACCAGCAATGAGTCTTACGAGGGACGGTAGACACGCCGGAATCACATACATGAAAAGACCGGCTGAATTCCCTTGCATCACTTTATTTCTTTATCTTGTCATATTTTCTGGTTGGAGTTCACCACAGCGGATGCATGTATGCCTAGACGGGATAAGATGGTGTTTAGATTGTATGATATCCCACCTGTACAGATAAACCACGTACAAACATAATAAGAATAGTGAAGAATAGGCAATAACCAAAGCCCTCCAATCTATACCACTAGACCCATAAACCCACCCAACTCTACAAGATAATATAAATCTAATCTACCAAGCCCTCCCCACCCCCCTCCTCTTCAACTCCTCCTGAAACACCGAATACGAATCAAACATCCCAGACTCCTGAAAATACGTCTCATAATGCGCCACCATCTCCGCCAACTTCTCCGGCATCGTCTCCGCAAGATCATCCACCTCCCCCAAATCCCTCTCGAGATCATACAACTCCCACTTCCCCTCTCCCCTCGGCGGCGGCAAATACAGCGCTTTCCACTGCCCCACCCTGACAGCCGCAATCCCGAGCTGTTCCCATCCCACCACATCCTCATGATAGATATCCACATCATCGTCACCCTTGGATTCCAACAACGGCCGCCAGGAATGTCCGCGCACAGGGGCTACTTCCCTCCCGCGGAACGTCGTCCCCGGGTGGGCTATGCCCGCTAGATCGAGGATCGTAGGGAGAATGTCCATTACTGTGGTGAAGGTGTTGGTGATAGTACCTGGGGTCATCCCAGTGTTTGTTAGGGGTGGGTAGCGAACGATACACGGACATCTAATCCCGCCTTCTGTAGTGTAGGATTTCAGGGCTCGACAGGGCGCAGTAGCTGCCGAGGCCCACTGGGGACCGTACCAGATGAAGGAGTTATGGTTCCCCAGGTTCTCGAGCGAGTTATCGTAGTATTTCTCGATGACATCTCCCAAAGTAGCGCCCGCTAGGACGGGGATAGCTTCGAGGAGCTGCCCCTCTGCGCCGTTATCGGACATGAATACCACGAAGGTATTGTCCCATTCGTCTATGGATTGGAGGTATTCTCGCACGCGGCCGATGTTCACGTCGATGAGATCGACCATTGCGGCGTAGATTTCCATCGCGCGGGAGGACTTTGCTTTTTCGTCCGGGGGGAGGTCGTCCCATGGGGTTGTGTTGAGGGTGATGATGGGCGCGGGGTCGACGTCTGCGGGTACGAGGTTGTTCTTGATTAGGCTGTGGAGACGGCGGGTGCGGAGGGCGAGGGGCCCATCGTCGTATTGGCCGTGGTATTTTTTGATGGTTTCTCGGGGTGCTTGGAGGGGCCAGTGGGGGGCTGTGAAGGGGAGGTAGGCGAAGAAGGGTTGGGAGGTTTGCTCAGGGGTGCGGTTTTGGAGGATGGAGAGGAGGTTGGAGGTGAATGTGTTGGAGGAGTAGAAGTCGCTCGGGAGGTCGGTGTCGCCGTTGAGGAATTGGTCGTCACGCATCCAGAGGTTTTGTTTGTCGCCTTTGATGATGACTCGGGGCTTTTCGGTCGTGTCGTAGAGTTGGGGCTCGTGGTTGTAGTGGTTGCCTGCGCCGGGGAGGAGGGTGAAGTTTTTGGTGAACCCGCGGGAGCAGGGCGCTACGTCTTTGGTTAGGCCTAGGTGCCTGTGTTGGTTGTGAGGTTAGTGATGTGTGATGCTTTGGGGGATGAGGTAGGGTAGGGTAGGGTAGGGTTGGTGTACCATTTCCCGGACATGCAGGTGAAGTAGCCGTTGTCTTGTAGGATCTCGGGCAGGGCTGCGACTTTGTAGTTCAGATAGCCTTCGTATCCGGATTTGCCGTCGAAGATGTGTGGGAATCGGTTTCTTCTCTCTGCCATGACGCCCAGTCCTGCGATGTGCGCATCTGTGCCTGAGAGGAGCATCGCCCGGGTGGGTGAGCAGGAAGCCGCAGTGTGGAAGTCTGTCATGCGGATGCCTTCCATTGCAAGACGGTGCAGATTGGGCGTGTCGATTTCTCCCCCAAAGGGAGAGGTGTCGCTGAAACCAAGGTCATCGGCGACGATGACGAGGAAGTTTGGGCGTTTGGGTGCGGTCATGGTGGTGGTGGTGTGGTGAGGATGGGATTTCTGGGGCTTGATGCAATCACACACATGATTCCTATGAGGTGCTTGATAGCTTTATAGTTATCTGATAAACATACGCACACATCGTTTGATTCTCCGCTACTTTGACGATATGTTGAAGGAGACAGGTGATATTATTGGGTGGTTTCAAAACAACATGATTGTTAGCTCAGCCGCTAACGCTTGGACGGGACAATTAGCGATGGTATCATCACTCCGCACGATGGCTTCATCCACCTCCATTGATTTCCTACTATTCTCTCCACTGCGTGATGGATAGTATCTTTAGCGTCCGGTACTCGGTCAGGCTACGGCTGTCGGTCATTTAGCGTAGGATTCATGGAACAGGACAGAGAGCGCCACTCCCCTCAAGACGCCTCTAGAGCGATATGGCAACATCGCCCCAGAATGTCGCGATACCTCAAGAATTGCTATAAAGAAAGTCCGAGAGCGCGAGATGGCTGGGTTTATGTATATTGGGCAAAGATTTCACGATCCTCTCGTGGCTCATTTGAGCCGAAGGCACCTTTGACTTCTGCTGAGTTATAATCGGTTTCTTAGGGTTCACTGCACTTTGAACGAGAAGATGGCGAGCTTGAAGAACTTACAGAATATGCGTCATGCTTTCACCTGGAATATGTTGATAGCATACACTATCATTGCCACTAGTGTTTTCAGCTATGGCTTTGATGATGCTGTTTACTCGACCATCCAGACAATGGACTGTAAGAATTGCGATCCACTAATCTTCTTCTTTGCATACAAGTTCTCTGTTGACTTCTCCAAGCTTTCGAAAAGCAATTCGGCACTTATGATAGCTCCACTGGGGAGTATGGATTCAGCACTCAGCATTTGGCCTTCCTCAACTCTCTTGGCCTGCCTGCAAAAGCAGCTGGCACATTCATCGGATGGGCGATTGGAGAATACTATGGACGTCGAACCTGCTTTATAGGCATGCAGCTGATGTGCATCATCGGTATCTCCGTCAGTTACAGCGCGACGACTTTCGGTCAGATCCTGGCCGGACGGATGATAGTACAATGTTTCATTGGCTGGGAGGACTGGCTTGTGCCCATGTTCCTCGGTGAGATCTGCCCTACTGTGGTTCGCGGGGCGACAGTGGTGGTATACGTATTTGCCCACATGTTTGGCTCGTTCATTTGTGCTATCATCACGTATGAAACGGCCAAGTTGGAGGGAAACGCTGCTTGGAAAATCCCGATCGGTGTGATGTGGACGTTCCCCTGCTTCATCTTGCTTTGCAGTTGGCTTGTCCCAGAGAGCCCTCGGTGGCTTATCCGGAAGAACAAGATTCAGGCGGCGACGAAACAGCTCGAATACCTTAACAAGGGGAAGGATATAGATGTTGCTGGTGAAGTGGCATTTTTGCAAGCAGCTGTCGAGGCAAACGCGCAAACAAAAGGCTCCTGGGCTGAACTTCTCCAGGGAACCAACCGGGTAAGTCTCCTTCCCGTACATGCCCTGACTTACGTGCGAGTGGTACTGACATCTCTCAGAGACGGACAATGATTGCAGTGATGACCGCGGCTTTCAATCAATTGACTGGACAATCCTTCGTCAGCCAGTATGGCAGTCTGTTCGTCAAATCCCTAAAAGTCATGAACCCGTTCGCCTTCACGCTAGGATCCCGAGGCATCTCGACCATGGGCCCTTTGGTAACCTTCTCCTTAGTTGACACAACTGGAAGACGGCCCATTTACCTGATTGGCGGTACTATGACTACCGCCCTACTCATGATCTGTGGTGGGCTAGGGACAGGCACCATAACCGATGGCAAAAAGCGTGGAGTTTGTGGGGTGCTCATGATGTACGGGCTATTTTACATCATGTCCTTCGGGTCTATGTATGCCCCCTTACCGCGACTAGCATCAAATACCGTTGACAGGGGATGTGCTGACCACTGACTTACACACAGATCTGTCATTACGGGCGCAGAAACTCCCCATCTGCGACTCCGCGATAAGACCTCGGTTGTTGCCTGGCTTATCCGGATTGTTTGCGACTTTGCAGTCTCCTACTCTCTTCCCTACCTACTCAAGGCCCCGTATGCCGATCTCCAGTCCAAGGTTGGCTTTATCTATGGCTCCCTTGCAGCCGTGGGGGTGGCTTGCGGATACTTCTTCCTTCCTGAGCTCACCGGACGCTCACTGGAGGAGCTGGAAGATATGTGGCAGCGGCGCATCCCTGCGCGCAAGTTTGCTGGTACGTATTGAAATTGGCTTGAAGAAGGATTGCCCCAACTTCTTGAATGTTTCAAGCAAGCTAACATATGAGCACAGATTGGGAATCAGACCGCACCGGAAGTATTGGAGCCAAGGTTACCGAGATGGAGGGTGAGACAGAGGATGCTGAGAAGGCTCAAAGATACTCTGGTTGACCCCGGTAGTTTTGTTAGTATGGTGGAGAGGTGCAGGGGGGTGAATCCTTCAAGCGGTGAGTCTCTTAACTAATACCACCTGCCTGATATAGCCGCGCGTTAAAGTTAAAGCCCACAAACACATGAAATTTAATGAATTCTACTAATTCTTAGTATTTTCAAAGATATCTTTAACTCCTGAATCTACCTCTCCAAAATCAACAAATTCAAAGCATCTTAATCATGATAACTGTATCCGTGTTCTTACTCTTCATGATACTGGTTTTATCTATTAATAAATAATTAATCAGCTACAGATTAGCTATTATCAAATTCAATATATATACTAAAATCAACAAGCTACATCCTGAAAAGCAAGAGGCAGTATACCTAAGCTTTCTGATAAAGAAGTTAATTAGATTATATAATAGATATCAAGTTCAAAATATATATATCAGCTACCATATTATCATATTATCAAAGAGCTTGAGCTCCCTGTTAGAGTAATAACTTTAATATATTCTTTTAAAAAAAGAGACTATACACGCTGTAAAGTACTTTGAAAAACTACTTTTTTTATTAGCTAATAAATAAGCAAAGTTAGCCTGGGCTTTTAAATACCTATATTAGATACAGGATTAATGAAATTAAATATTCTGGACTAATGAAACCTAGGTAACTTCAGGCTTTTATAAACAAATATATATGACTCGCAAGCCTGGTAAAGAGCTTAATAAAATCTATCTCTGTATAAATCTACTATATAAGTATGGTTAAATATTTTAGATCTCTTTCTACAGTAATTCTAAAGGACCATGCCTCTTTTGGAAGAAAGAATAAGAAAGTATCAAGACTGAAAGCTATATTAAATAAATTATTCCTATTATTGATGGTTTTATATACTTGATTAAACGCAACGGATATCAACAACTTTAATTAATGTAAGATAATGCTCCTGGTCATGCAAGATTACTATTCAAGAGTTTAATAAGCGTGGGATCTTTCCAATTATTTAGCCAGCTTTCTCACCCGATCTCAATCCAATTAAAGCTATTTGGAACTGGATAAAAGACTGGATTAAGTAATAGTGTAATACTTTCCCCAGGATAAGTAGTTATTATATAATTGACTACATGAGATCATACAAGCTGCGTGGGATGCTTTACCAGAGGCATTCTTGAATGATTGATTGATAGTATGCCTGCAAGGTACCAGGCAGTGATTAACATGAAAGGTGGCCATACAAAGTATTAATAATTATTAATAATTATATAAACGGCAGAATTGAAAGGATTCACCCCCCTGCACCTCTCCACCATACTAACAAAACTACCGGGGTCAACCGTAGTATATTAATAAGGCATAGATTAGTATCCAATCATCTCACTTCGTCTCTGATAGTAGCATGTGATTCGAGTAAAAGAAGAGTGAATTGCATTTTTGCTTTTGAGTATAAGCGGGGGTGTCACGGGTTAGCGGCAATCAGTTCCCATTCCATCCTTGCTGGTTCCCGATCGGAGCGATCGCTGCTCCACCTTTCGAGCTTTCCCATGGATAGAAGAAGCCACAACTCAAACGCAGTTTCTGCATTCTCTATTTAGTATCAACAAGCATCACAATAACAGTATCATGGCTTTTACCACCGAGGTGGAGTTTGACCAGGCAAGCGAATTCATCCGTTTGCGACCGTGCCAATATCCATTCTAACTAACAAGGGATAGGCATATGCCGGCGTCCGAGCCGCTTTCGCCTCGGGTCGCACCAAGAGCAAAGATTGGAGACGCCATCAGCTTAAGAGAGCCTGGTGGATGGTCGAGGACAACAAGGACCGCATCCTTGATGCCCTTCGTGCCGACTTGAACAAGCATCCTCTGGAGGCTATGCTGGGGGAAATTACGGGCCTTCAAAATGACATTCTACGTACCCTTGACAAGCTTGACGAGTGGACAAAGGATGAGAAGCCCACAAGATGGGATCCCATCAACTTTTTGGGCGGAACTGTAGTCCGTCAAGAGCCATTGGGCGTGTCATTGATTATTGGCGCCTGGAACTTCCCTTTCATGCTGACCTTACAACCCTTGGTTGCTGCTATTGCCGCTGGCTGTGCGGTGATCCTGAAGCCGTCCGACGTTGCACAAGCCTCCCAAGGTCTCCTGATGGAGATCGTCCCCATGTACATGGATCGCGACGCTATTACTTGCGTCAGTGCAGGGCCGTCGGAAATGAAGCATATTCTTGAAAGTCGCTTCGATCACATCTTCTACACTGGCTCTGCAAATGTTGCCAAGATCATCTATGCTGCTGCTGCCAAACATTTGACCCCCGTCACTTTGGAACTGGGGGGTCAAGGGCCTGCAATTGTTGCCCCATCTGCGAATATCGATCTCGCGGCAAAACACATTGCTTGGGCTAAGTTTTCGAATGCTGGACAGGTACGACTTTTCCCCTAAATAAGAATGACTCACTTCATCGGCCCTAATGTGGACTCCAGATCTGCGTCAACGTGAATCACGTCCTCATTGACCCCAGCATACGTGAAGCTTTCTTGACGAGACTGATCCATTACTTTGACGAGTTCACTGGCGGCCGAGATAACAAGCCAGACTACTACAGTCGCATCATCAACGAGCGAAATTTCGATCGTCTCGAGTCTCTTCTCGATAGAACATCCGGTAAGGTCATTTACGGCGGCATTCGCGACCGTCAAAATCGATACTTTGGACCTACCATTGTTGTGGGCGTTAGTCCCGACGATCCTCTTCTGTCTGAAGAGCTCTTTGGCCCCATCCTGCCCATCATTGACGCGGACCTTGATACCGCCATCGCTTTCACTCGCAGTATTGAGCACCCGTTAGCTCTTTACGCCTTCACTACCGTCGAGTCTGAAAAGAAACGCATTCAGGATGAGACTGCTTCTGGTGGTGTGACATTCAATGACTGTCTCCTCCATGCCGCTGCTCTTGATGCGCCCTTTGGTGGTGTGGGGAACTCTGGTACTGGTTGCTACCATGGAAAGTACGGAATACTTGCTTTCTCGCATCTTCGCACATATACGAATGCTATTCCAACGTGGATGGAGGGGGCGATGGGTGCGAGATACCCTCCTTACTCTGAGAAAAATATAAGGAAGCTATCACCGCCTGTCAAGGCGCCTTTTGACCGAGAAGGGAACGACACAACTTCTCGCAGCAAAGTTTTGAGTGCTGCGGCCACTCTAGCAGTTCTTGGTATTTCAGTCTGGATGTTTGGAGCAAGAGAGAAGCTCCCGCCTTATGGAAGGAACTGGTTGAGGAAGTGACACTGTGTATCTGATGTATCTATTTTGATTGAAGCACAATACATGAGACTTTGAGGAACCTGTTCTGTTCGTTCTAAATTGTGCCGCATACTGACATATGTCTAGACTTCCATTGCTAGATGCCTCCTTTTTTTGATGACATCGGCTACACCTCACCACGTAGTGGATCTATTTATAACACCGTGACTCCTATGTGACTCGACTTTGAAGTCATGTATCAAGTCTAAGGATCAATATGAAGTCAATATAACAGGTCTAAGGATAAACATGAAGTCAATAAGCGTGACCACCCAACGACTATAAATTGCCCCTTGAGCTCCCGGACTTTTCTCCCCAGACTTGTCTTCCTACAACTCCCCAGTCTACCATACATTCACCTACCTTCACCTACCTTTCATACTATTGTGCTCTCTTTCCTACCCATGTCTGATTCTACCGTTTCCATTCCTATTTCTATCTTTCTACCTCTTCTATCTTCTTTCTCACCTTCATCTTTCTCTATCTTCGTCCACGACTGCTGGCTCGTTGTCTACAGCAACTGAGCTGTCAGGTAAGTCGCCCTGCCCCCAGTCGATCCAAGCCATGTCAAGCCCTGGGGGCTTGTGAACCACCTCCTACCTCACCTGCCTCAACCTACCTCATCTGCCTCGTCTACCTCACCTGCCACCACCTGCCCTACCTCACCTTGCCCTACCTCATCCTGCCCTGCCCTGTCCTCCCTCACCTACCTCACCTTACCTCATCTGCCTGTCTTGTCCTGCTCTGCCTCACCTACCTCACCTCACCTTGCCTACCTGCCTTGCCTTGCCCTACCTACCTACCGACCTGCCTACTTCACCTCATCTACCTCCCCTCACCTTTCCTGTCTGCCCCTGTCTCAACCTACCTCACCTGCCTGCCTCAACCTGCCCTATCCTGCCCTGCCCTGCCTCACCTCCTACCTCATCTACCTTGACTACCTCAACCTACCCTATCCTGTCCTGTCCTGCCCTCCCTTTCCTACCTACCTACCTCACCTCATCTACCTCACCTTGCCTACCTCACCTGCCACTTTTGCCTCAGTATACAATACTAATATATCAGGTAAGTACTCCTGCCCCAGTCGACCCAGGCCATGTCAAGCCCTGGGGGCCTGTGAGCAAGACCTGCCTCTCCTACATCAACCTGCCTCACCTCATCAACCTGCCTTGCCGACCTGACCTACCTGACCTACCTGACCTACCTACCTGCCTCTCTCTCTGCCTGCCTGCCTCTCTCTGCCTGCCTCTGCCCTACCTACCTACCTCCCTCCCTCCCCCTCATACTCCCCACCCTACCCCACCGGGGGCTGCTACAGCAGCTAGCCGCGCAGCGTGCCACGTTCCCGCAAACGTCCGCCTCACCCTGCCACCCCTCGGTATACAAAAACAGACTTTTGCTCCTGCCCCCCTACGGGCCATAAGGGAGTCCACCGGGGGTGCGTGACGGTGCACAATGCCGTCCAGGTATAGGTAGTTGGCTCGACACACACCCGTCGAGCCCACTATACCTCCACCCGGTGTTTAGCAAGTACCTTCTCTCATTTTTGAGATGACAGGGAATGCAAGTATATAGAAAAAGCCGCACACTTGACTAGCTGGCTTAGTCCGCTGGTCAGGTACAAGTTGTTTTGAGCCAGCGCTGTAATAGCGCCGAAAACAATAAAAGTCTCACCCATGTAGAAATACATGGCGTTGAGACGCCTGGTTGTGCGGGCCAGGTCCTCCAGCGATTGAAGCTCACACCTCATCGTGGTGCTGGAGTCTAGTAGCTTGTCCTCTTGGGGGGTAACCCTTGGGGGGTGGGTGAAGCTAAGATGAGCTCGTTAGGTAGGTATGTAGCTATAATACAAGAAGAAGAAATAGAAAATGGTGTCTATTGTTACTGTAGTACGTATGGATAGTGTATAGTAAATGAAACTTTCACCACCATAATCATGGGACTATCAAATGAATACCATCCAAAGCAATAGTAAAAGTATCGTTACATACAAACATCACCTCTACCCTCCCAATTAGTCACATAAATCTATGGACCACAGACCATCACTATCGACTACAAAGTAACATGTTATATTCCCCTACCCCACAAACAAACCCTCTCAAACGGCCAACCCAACCATAGTCCCAGTCACACCAACATAACCCCCCCCCCAATCAAGTGTAAAAAATGAAGGAAAGATTATCCCTTCAACGGATCATGCCCCCAATTCTTCAACGACTTATAACTCTTACTATCCGTATTCTGCTTCGCCGTCTCCTCCTGCGCCAAATGCCGTTTACAGTACGACACTACCTTTCGCATATGATCGACGTCTTCGTCCGAGTACCCCGATGGGTCTTTGGACGGGTTGTGTTCGAGGATGGAGACGATTTTGCGGCCGCTGTATATCCATACCCCAAAGTTATCAACATATCGTTAGCTTAAGCAAAATAAACAAGGAAATAGGAGACTTCGTGATGTGATTTAGGGAAGAGTGAAGAAGGGGTGGAGGCATGCCTTTCATGTCCGATTGTCTCCCCCGACGAGGACGACTCGTTCGTCCAGCCTGAGGACTGCGATTGGGTACCTTTGAGCCAGTCGCGGAGTTCGTTGGGCGTCATGTTGACGAGGGAGTTGAATTCGCTGTCAGCATTATTAGTAGTGTTTTGGGTGGAAGGGGTTGTTTTGGAAAGGGGGGAAAGTACTCGATGACGGTGTCTTTGGATTTGACCATTTTGGTGAGGATTTTCTGTTCTGTTCTATGGTATGGTAGACTGTGAGATAGTAAAGGTTTGGGTGTGGTTAATGGGAATGTGAGAGATATTCTGGCTTTGTAGTTGAGGTGAGATTTCCTGACGTCATGTTTCCGGGAACAGATACTTCGTCATCGTTGAACTTTTGGGTGGAGTGGTTGGAGAGATAGAGAGGATTTGTTGTCTATTTGGTAGAGATTAAGGTTCCGGAAGGTTATTTTTGTTCTTGGTTCTCGATGTTGTTGGGTTGATTCTTCATTCAGTCATGGCGTGCGATAGATCGAAGGAAATCTGACATTGGTATCGATAGTATTAAAAGACAGATATGAGACGTTCGCATCCAACTCCAGCAGTCTGCCACCCAGGTCTATACAACAAGAAATATCACAAACTGGCTCAAGGGCCTGCACTGAGAGCTCGCCCGCATTTCTGTATCTGCTTGTAGACCGGTTCCTTGGCGAGATATTCCTCGGTAGCATCCACGATCGTGTCGATTTCATCAATGCCATCGAGAGAAATATCTGCTAATCCGTTGGGTACATCGAATCGGAATAGACGGTTCTCGTCATCCAGTTCCGTATGCTCTCGGAGAAACTTGTTCATGTCCACCTCGGTGTCGATGGAATCAGTGCGCGATGACTTCAGTAAGCCGAACATCGCTTTGCTGGATCTCTTGATTGAAGGAACACCGGTACCGATAGACACCATGCACCGTATTTGGGTATCCAATGAGCCGGATGGCCATATGCCTCTCGCCTCTATCCAGACTTCTCGCACTGGATTGTTAGCGTCTGTGTTGCTGTTGTAGAATCGCCGTCCGCTAGGTCCGATGGGAACGGGATCGAAGAGCTGCTCTGTGGAGAAGCAGGCTCTACCAGCTTGCCATACTTTGGCGGTCTTGTAAAGCTCGTTGGAGCAGTATTTGCTCGGATAGCTTGTCAAGGGTGCTAGATTTCGTTTTGAACCGTCGTCGGTCACGCAAACGTAACTGTGCCAATTAGAAGGCAGTTCCTTAATCCTTAAGATGGACTCACACTTTGCAGGAAGATGCCGGTTCTCTCAGAAGTATGTCATCTTCGTAGCCAAGCTCATGAAGAATCGCCTTCATGGCAGTTTCAATCCTGCGACCGTCATATTTCGATTGTCGGCGCAAGTTGCCTCCCACTGGCAGTAGTCGCTTGCGAGCAAATACGTGGTTTGACAGTCTTTTGTATGCGTTGATGCACTGATCAATGTCCATCTCCAGTCGACCAAGCATAATGGCTATCAACCTATGATATGGAGCATTAGTAATAAAACCCCGATCGGGACGATTTGTGCATTATAGAATACCTACCCGCCTGACCCCGACCCTCCTATCAAATCAAAGTATTCGCATGGCTTTGGTGTGTTATCAGGATCAATGGATTCCATGATGTGCTTCAGAATGTAAAGGGAGGATAATCCGCGGACACCCCCGCCATCGAGGCTGAGGAGACTGATGTTCCTCACCATGGTGTAAACGGTAATGATGAACTTCAAGATGAGCTCAGAAACCAACGTGGTTCAGCCACCATGAGCCACGGATCTCGATACTATTTATATGCCATCAGATTTGACACCGAACACTGCCTATGGAAATCTTCGCCTCGAGATAATGACGCAATCCGTCAACGGCTGATCGGGCTCAAAGCATTATCGAGGCTGGTATCAGTGCAGCCAGTGAAGACGGTTCATGAATTAATTCCGGCCCGACGTATTGATCGACATTGTCAATGCGGATTCTAAGCAACAGCAAATGAGATCAATGGCTCGCTCCTTTGGGCACGTTGGAGCGGATGGCTAGTGCGCACTCACCGTCTTTTCCAGGCCCCATTCGACGCAGCTCGTTTTATCATAGTGGGGGAGCATGTCGGGCTGGGATTTAACTTCAAGCAGCCACAGTTCATAGGCGGGGTGACAGCCACGTAGTCCGAGCTTAGCGCCGTGGTCCTTGGGTGAAGCAACCAGCGGCCCATGCTCATTGGGACTTCGGGGGAGGATATGATGGTGCCTAAAGTTGATCATCGCATCGAGGAGATATTTGCATTAGCTTTATCTGGATAATATAGCCCTTGCATTATCTTCTGTTGCAGATAAAGAATGATTGTCATGGATGCATGGAGAGTGGGGGAACCGCGAAGGCCTCAATTCAGTCCATCCCAAAGTCATCGAACATTATCGACACCTGAGGCATGAAAATACCAAGAACACACTAGTGCCAACGATGGCGAAGACCACCACGATGAGGCATCGTACTCGGTCTGCACAAGGTGCGGACGGCTTCTAAGGAAGACCCTCGAAGGAAATACACACTTTCCCATTCGAAGATTGAAGATTGACTGCACCCTCAAGAGTTGGGAATTGATACAAAAATTCATAACCTGTGCCTAAACTAACAGGTCGGGTATTGGAAGGCAGCCTTGCGGGCTTCTCATGCGTCTCGCTTACAATAGACCTCGTGTTCGCGTGTACTGATCATCCGTCTGTGAAACATATTCTCGGGTGTGACTACACTCCTACCGCATCTTACATATGTACGCCCATTGTGTCATTTGCTGTCAAAAGAGTCCAACATAACGTGGACGCTAGGCTGCCGGAGTTGTGCTTAAGGCAGCGTGTAGCCGCCATCAATCACGAGGTTGGCTCCAGTCATATAGCTCGAGGCATCGGAAGCACAAAACACATAGGCCTGAAACATTAGTAACTTTTCACCGTTTCGGATAAAGGAGGTAGTGAAAAGTCACAAGGCAGAAGCTGACTTACTCCTTTGAGTTCATAGGCATCAGCCATTCGCTTAGCCGGCACCATGTCGTTCCATTTCTCGCGCCATTCCAGTGGGTGGATATCGAGGATCTCCGTGGCTATGAACCCCGGGGAAACGCAGTTGACCCGGCAAAAGTCAACCCATTCAACAGACAGACATTTTGCCAGCTGCACGACCCCGGCTTTGGAGGCATTGTACTGGACCATGCTGATTAGTCCACACCTTAGATTCGAAATAGAATGCAACATACCGCTGCCTGCTTCTGAGGCACATTCACCAATGTTGCACTGACAGAGGCCGTGAAGATGACATTTCCATGTCCTTGTTGCTTGAAGATCCGAGAAGCCGCCTGTGCGCTATAAAACGCGCCATCTAGATTCACTTTCATGATGTCACGCCATTGTTCCGTGGTGTAGTCTTCCGCCGCAATATTGGAAGTAACTCCCGAATTCACAACGATAATATCGAGCTTGCCAAAGTCTGAGGCGATTTGTTGGATTACCCTTTCAATATCCTCCTGATTTCCAACATCCGCCTTATAGGCAGCTGATTTCACGTTGTTCTGGGTAACGATCTCTTCGGCAATGGCTTCTGCCGCTTTAGACGAGTTGTAGATCAAGGCCACCTGCGATAGTCAGCACAGGGCTGCTTGGTAGAATGCCTCATCTTACGTTGGCACCAGCTTCTGCGAGGGCCCTCGAAACCTCAAGTCCAATACCCCGGGCACCGCCTGCGATCAGTTAGAAGCTGCTAATGTTGCTCTTCGGGGAAGGTACCTGTAATGGCAGCAACCTTGCCGGTGAGGTCAAAGGCCTTCAGGACGTGCTTGTTCTCGGGCTTAGAAAGAACCATGGTGGCTGTATGACTGAGTAATGGATGAGATTATGCTCCTTCAACATAGCGAGCTTTGTGTCAGTGAAGTACTCTGTGCGACGTAGGGAACCCCGCAAAAGACCCCCGCAGCGGAGGTCCTCCGAGACTGGCACGTGGTAGTGATTCGTCTGAGCGCGCCTCATCTGAAGTATCACGTTCACGCGCTCAGATAGAAGATCTCACAACTCATAGAGATAACTATCATCCACGAAATTAGCCTGATGAATAAGACTGTGTGCCGATAGTTGGTTGTGCTTCTCAACTGCATCCCCAGAAAACCGTAACGAATCAAGCGCCATCGCCGCTCCAAAATGCCCATCACGCGTCTCGTAGGCTCCAATCAATAGACTGAGGTCTGAGATCATCCGCTGCGCATGAGCAGACGATACAAATCTTTCCTTGATGAAAGCTAGGCATTCTGCAGCATTAGAAATGGCGGATTCTGATGTTAGCTGCGGCCGCACGTTTGGCATATGAGCGAGAAAGAGATTAAGGCGTGCGGCCTGATAAGCGCATCTCGCGATATCGAATGAGAAGAGGACCTGGAGATTCATCTTTCGAACCTTCTTAATAGATTCTACTATCCAGTCACTGTGTTCCTGACATATTTCCTGGGCTTGGCTAGCATAGGTGCTTGATCCCAAGGGACGCAATACCACATCAGGGGCCGCATTGGGATGCCCGAGAAGGAAGAGGCGAAACAGGTCACAGTGTGCCTGACGCCAAGCGAGTCGGACCTCTAAAGATCTCACAACCCATCGGAAGTTTGGCTGGATTATGGTTCCAGTGGCTGAAGAGCCCACAACGGACGCTATTTTCTCCTGAAGCTGAGTGAGGTTCATTTGGAATCCTTGCACAATACCCTGAAACTCTTTGAGAGGCTGCTCTAGCAGGGCCAACTGCCTGGTGAAGCGCATGATATCTCTGCGCACCCTGGAAATACGCAGTATCAGCTCCAGCATGCTGTGGTGAGCTTTGTCTTCAACCCGAGCGGTGGAAGAGCCCCGTATTGTGTCGGGATCCGTTGAGCCAAATTCCTCTTCACGACACGGATATTGCTGGTATATCTCTTCATAATTTATCGTGCTGTAGCCGAGAAGCCCTACAGAAAAGTAACCATCTAGTAGTGCCATCGTCCAAGCAGCTCTCCGCCGAATCTCCTGAGTGACAAAGCTGAGGTGTGGGCTTTCATGCTTCAGCTGGAGTGCAGTCACATGGCGGCTCGCAATGGAAGCCATCATGAAGGCCCTTTCGAACCGGCCAACTTCAGCATGATACTGAATGATTAAGAAGAGTGCCTGCAATCTGAATATTGAAGGCGTCTCGATCATGTCCCAGATCCTCTTTTCCGAAAGTTCGATCAACAAGACACTTTCGGAAGGCTGAGACCCAGCCGGTCTACACCTTAGTTTGACCAAGGCGCATATAGATAACACGAGACTTGGCTCGAGCGTTCGGGCAGCACACATTCGCCGAATCGAGGGTTCGTGAAGGAAGCTGTAGGAAGGCAAGGGATACAGATGCAAGAAATAGTCATCAAGGACTCCATCTAACTCCGCTCCGTCCTTTACAGGGTAAACTCTGATAGAAATCAGCGGCGCGATCAACTATAAAACGCTCATAACGACCGTCATACAGTCCTTGCTGCAGCTCATTCAGGGAGACCAAGCGAGTGGAAGACTTGACTGTCAATTTTCCATCTCGATCCTGAGATAATTGGCGAGCTCCTCTAAAGGCTGGATATTGGCATTCCTGATGGCGTCGGTGACAGTTATTGCACTGTGGCGTCTCACCTGAACATCGGGCTTTTTGAAGACGGCAATAGATGCACGCCCGAGTTCCACGATGTCTTCCGGGATGGCCACCGTCATGCCTCGGGCGCCCGGGGGATGGGTTATCCCTCTCATAGGAGCATGTATGCTTTAGCCTCTCGCAATTCCCACAAGTGTACTTTTTACGGTCGCAGCGAACCTAAAATGTCTTAACGACTAAGAATAGATGCGGGGTGAAAAGCAAACGTATTCAATGGAGGCTTACTTTGCGCGACCGACACTGGGAGCACGGAGGTGCAGCTTCCCGACCATGGTGGTTATCCATGAGCGCTTACAATGTATATCACAAATCCGCGATCGGAATATTTGTAAATCGAGATATAGAATACTAGAACTATTTGAGTTCATCTATAATTGAAAATTGTCCAGCTTGTATATCAACGTGGGCGCTATTGCGCCTTGGAGGCGTGCGATGGCGTCAGCCCGATGTACCTGCAGCCGACGGATAGCAGGTTGACAAACTCCGATCGTAGTTTCCACACTAATCTCCGTAGGCTTGCAGGCCTGGCGCATACCAAAGTGCAGGTAACACAGCAGGAACAGAAACTACTGGTTACATGTGAGATGTATTCTCCGATGAACCACGATGCCGACCGTAAGACACGGGAGCCTTTCCGAGCCGCTCGTCGTGATGACTGAACTTGGAGCTGTGCCCGGTCTCATCACTGGTCTCGGGTATTTTTTCAGCTGAAAGGTACAGCATCTCTTTCCTTATAGTCGTAGTAAGAAACATGGCTGTTCCTTCCCAAGCAGATATCGAGCTATGAGCATCACTACATGAGTATAATGACATTGTGGCCGGTATATCCTTCGACTCGTGTGCACGAGAGGATGCTCAAATCTCAGCAGACTTGCCCTGGAAACTGAGCGCCGCCGATTACTTCATGATTGTGTTGCTGTGCGCCTGATTCCGACCTCTGAAAAGCGTCATAAGCACAGGTCTCTTCAAAGAAGGAAGTTCGGCTACCGAATGCAACAGAGGCCAAGGTAAGGGCTTAGATTATACTTCACTTGAACAGGGTGTTTCACCCGGTTGTTCCACGTAGACTGAGACCAGTACGAGTAATCCATACCGAAACTATGCGGATGGGGTATAGTCTACATCAATGCGTCCTCCCACAATATTCGCATTTACTGCTCACTGATGAGCCCAGGCTGCCGAGAGAAGGCATAACCAGTCTTTCAAAGACGGAGAAGACTCTGACCAGAGACAGGCATAAGCCATTGTGGGCATCAGGAGTCATGGGAACACCGGGGAGTCGGTGGGATCCATGCGGACATTGAACAAAGAACACGGAGGCTATTTTCGAGGAAAAGCCATGCGTGATTAACGAGCAACTAACGATTCTCGCAAAGGTGTGGACGGAAGGAGGAGGAGAAGGGCTGGATAATCGGCCGAGCTCGGCATCGCGGCTTCCGTTTGTAGATGTTGGCGAACTGCAACGTTCTCAAAAGACATCCATCACAATCCACTCCAACCAAGTCATTTGCCTCTGGCTTCATTTTTGCAGGATAGTACCTCACCTATTTTCTCGGTCTTCAGTCATTGCATCCTCGTGATGTCTCATCTGCTGCAATGTGAAGATTGCCTGCCACAGTACCTACCAATCAAGCACAGGTTTCTCGAATGGTTTAGGCGACATCGTCATCGCAAAACACACATTTTGTCGGAGCGGTAGGAAGAACCGGAGAATATCTGTGTCACTTCATGGGAAATACCTTCAGATCGCATTTGATTATGGCTTTAACCTGTTGGATTTGAAGAAAGTTGCCTGTGACTCCTTGCTCGATCTGGGCGTTCAGGGTTACCCCTGGTACCTGGTACCTCGTATCTTCGCCATCAAGGTATGTTCATACACCTCGCTTAGACTCCCACTGTGTGCCCCGGCGATGTGCCATTTCTCTTCTGGGCGTAGATGTCTCGGCTCAATGGGACATGTTGGCAATAGCATGACTAACTAGGAGCCCATGACGTTAAGTCTAGCATGGGCCGGTTTTATAGGGAGCCATCATCAAGGCACGCGCTGTCGGACAGCCCTTGAAGGCTGAAAAACGCACGTGGTAGTGCGGTGAACAGCATCAGGCAGGCTGGTTTGAAACTCACATCGAAGATATCGAAACAAGTTTGTTCAGCTTATGGGCCGGTGGGTATGTCTCACTTCAGATGATTGTCATATTTAGAACATTACACGAGAGCTAAGTCCAAGCCACAGGGCTCAAATATCTGACATAATAGCTTGAATGAGAGAATTACTCACTGGCCTGTGTTCATATTCAGATAGTCCTTCTGCATCCCCAGGGGCTAAAACAGCCTTTGTGAGCCTTCCCTACTCAAAGCCTGCGATCGCGTGCCAAACCAACCTGGGTCCTCTCGGCTTTCTGAACGAATTGTTGGTTACCAAGTTTAAATGACTCAATTTTCGAAAACCGATAAAAATTGTCACCTCTCGTAGTCAAGCTTTGGTAAGAATTTAGTTTGATTATTATTTGGCTTTTCGGTGATTTTTTCACTGAGCCGAAAAGTACTGGCAGCGTCTTATGCCGTGAGTTGCTATCGGTGAAGCTGAGACCAATGACGGAAGACCTGGAGAATTAATCCACAAGCGATAATGCTTGTTGAGGTGTCATACTACAGTGCGCCTGACCGCAATCATTCCAAATGTGGATATGAGCAGGCGCATGGCTTGATATTGATGCTTTTGTGGGATCTGTAAGAAAGTCGAGCAGACCCGAGAGGGGCCGAGCTGTGTTTGCTTTTCCCGCCCACGTCTCTTATGGTGGCTGCAGCATCACAGAGTTGGGAGAATATTTACCGCTTGCGGTTGGACTGCCACCGCTGCTTGGCTCGGATGATGCGAAAATAGCCGAGCTGCAGAGTACCCTCTGACCTCTTCTGGAATGGGGACTCACCCAGGCTTTCGAGGCAATGAACTTGCAAAGCCTTGCCTTAGGCGGGTGGCCTAAGTTGAACAACAAGAGAACAGTCAGAGCTATTGTCGCTGATTCGAAAGTGTTTCGCTTGATATCGTCTAGTGCGCATCTGGGGGACGATCTGACTATAATTATTATCAGCCTTATCTTTATTAACTTGGGCCATTTCATTGCTCGAAGATTGGGGCTACCAGCTTGACGGGAATGATCTGATACGTCGAGCTGCCTGTGGGTGTGCCTGAGCGGAGGCTATACGATCTAATTTGGCGACTAGCGGTCAGCCAGCCCCAAGCTAACACGATCGGTACCAGACTCAGGCAATCCATGTGTTGGGGGGATTCGAGTATGGGATTGGACAGGCTTTACGAATTGTAAGCTAGATCGGTTGGCTCTGGAGTGCGCCATGTGCGCTCCTTCTGCTGGGATGAGCTGTCCGGGATCCGAGCGATGACTGATACTATAGTACCTGTAACTATAGTCATTACTCGCTAAATGGAACTAACGCTCATTTCAAGGAGGTGGGGATGGCCTCAAGTACAGAGCCTAGTCGGTCAGTTGATTGTCGATGCGACCAAAGCGACTGGCAGCTGAGACACCTTGAGATGGGATCCCTGATCGCTCTTGAGATCTATCGGGCTGATAGTCAGGCATAGCCATTCCCTGAAGGAAGCCAATCCCAAGTGTGAGGTGTTCAATACGAATCCCAGCAAATCATACTGTATCGGATGTTGCGGCTCAGTCTACCTCCCTCACATGTGTCATCTCAAGCACATGGTGCAGCTACACTGGTGGACCTTGAATCGTTACATGATTGATCCGTTCATTTGATGTCCCGTCCGGTTCATCTGGGTGGGGGCTCGTACAGCTGGAGGATTTTCTGCATTAGGCTGTGCAGTAGATCCGACATCTGGTGAACTCTCACGGACAAGGCAATCCCGGGCGATACAGCCCCCTTGGATCATCGTGGAGGCAACATCCCAGCCTAACAGGACCAAATGACTCCTGCAGCTACAGGCCTGAAAAGAGCGAAAAAAGGTAATTGAAAATACTAGCAAGACCGGGCTCAGAGTGTATATAAACCACAGGGCCATCATGAACAAAGACACGGCAAGAAGCTGGCGATCCGCGTAGATCTTGCCTTCACTTGGTTCTTTCAATCTTGCGCTACTGAGCACTAGCGGCACATCATGACAATCTTTTTGCTACTCCTTGGGCTTCTAGCCCCACTGGTTTTCTGCAGTCCAATCAAACATGCTACTCCGCATCTTTCCCAATCTGCCCCAATACCGAGAGATATGCAAGGCAATTCTTCGCAGTTACCCAATACCCCATGGCAGGGATACGATCTAAACACGAATTACTATGAAACCGTTCCACAGACGAATGTTGTCCGTGAATATTGGTTTGACATCGTCAACACGACCGCTGCTCTCGACGGAGTCGAGAGACCAGTGCTTCTGGTCAACGGCCAATTTCCAGGCCCTACTATTGAGGCAAACTGGGGAGACACTGTCAAAGTTCATGTTACGAATCGCATGGAAAACAATGGTACGGCCATCCATTTCCACGGAATTCGACAGCTGTACAACAACCAAATGGATGGAGTAGCAGCGTTGACGCAGTGCCCTGTTCCCCCAAACTCCAGTTATACCTACGTCTGGAGAGCCGAACAATACGGGTCGAGTTGGTATCACTCGCACTTTTCTCTTCAGGCATGGGAAGGCGTCTTTGGGGGCATTGTGATTCACGGCCCTGCGACAGCAGATTATGACCACGACTTGGGTGTGGTATTTCTCAATGACTGGTCGCATCAAACAGTTGACGAGATGTATCAATCTGTACTCGAGAGTCAGGGGCCGCCTCATTTTCAGACAGGCCTTATTAATGGGAGCAACATCTGGGTTACCGGAGATAACCAGACCGTTGGTCGTAGATTCCATACAGAATTTGCACCAGGACAGAGATACCGGATTCGGCTGATTAATGCAGCCATGCATACCCATTTCAAGTTCTCGATCGACAATCACGATCTTACCGTCATCGCTAGCGATTTCGTTCCTATTGTACCATTCACAACGAACAATGTCCCCATTGGCATGGGACAACGGTATGATATTATCGTGACGGCAAATCAAGCTCCGGACAATTATTGGATCCGAGCAATCCCGCAGTCCTTCTGCAGTGACAATTCGAATCCAGACAATATCAAAGGGATCCTCCACTATAAGGGTGCTCCCAATGACAACGAGCCCACGAGCACAAAGTGGGATTACGGTGACGACTTCCAGTGCCTGGATTTCTCATTAGACGAGCTTGTCCCGTGGCTTGCCCTTGATGCAGATATTGGTGGCGCCCAGATGCACGAGTCAGACGTGGACTTCAGCCCATTCGGAGATGTTCCCTTGTATCTGTGGACAATGGGAGGCAATGCTCTTAATATCTCGTGGAAGGATCCCACCCTACAGCAAACCTTCGAAGATCCCGACAAGATGGACTGGGAAGCAAGCCAAGGAGTGATAGAGGCTGCGATTGCGAATAAATGGACCATTTTGGTTGTCCAAACAGATCTTCCTGTTCCTCACCCGATTCATTTGCATGGTAAGTAAACCCATGGCTGAACATAGCATCTGAAACCACTAACTCTCAACTGCAGGACACGATTTCTATCTCCTTGCTCAGGGATTTGGCCAATTCAGCCCACAGAATGTCACGCTCAAAACGAAAAACCCACCCCGCCGCGACACTGCGCTCATGGTCGCTGATAGTTCCGCGACTGGTGGCGGCGGCCATATGGTTATTGGCTTCCCCGCCGACAATCCGGGTGTATGGCTTATCCACTGCCACATTGGATTCCATGCAACGGAAGGGTTCGCGCAGCAGGTTGTCGAGCGACAGAGTGAGTTTAACTCATTTTTCAGCGAAGATTTGTTGGTGAACACATGTGATGCGTGGGACGAGTATGCCAAGGTGAATCCCTACGGACATCAGTACCGGGGTCTTGCTGGTCCGTACGAGTCGGGTATATAAGTAGTCACCTTTCTCTTCTAATACTTGCACCATTTCCACTCATCGAGAACGCCTCTTCATCACCCATTAAAAGGACATAGCGACAATCACGGGCGCAAGACGTCTCATGTGGGAGGCTTGGTTGATGTTGTAGGGTCCATATTTATGCAGTGTGGCAAACGAGTTGCCCGCCTTCCGCCCTTGTCTAAGGTACTTGACCCAATATTCCCCATACTCTAGGCTCTCCAAAGATATCTCTTGCCCACACTGCCCCGCGAGGGGACGGCTATTCTTATTAGCGCACCAAATCATCGAATCAATTATTCAGACCACGGATGATACGTACAACCGCACTGGAGGAGAGTCCGGGGCATCGCGGTGCTCCTTAACCCAGGCCGCGAGTTCGGCCACCTCTTGCTGCGTGATCTTACGATCCTTCTTTGCCCTTCTCCCCCCTTTGCACTCGATGGGCATCCTGATCTTCTCCGTAGCCTTGACCTCGAACTGGCCATCCGTGATGGCTACGTATGTGTTCTTCCTTAAACCCGTAAATGTCAATCTGCGCTTTGATGTCCTCCACCAGGAGTCCGCATTGGGAACTAAGGAGGTCAGGGCATTGACAAGCTCGATGAAGGCTGAATTTACAGTATCTTCATCGGTCAGGTCATCGCCGCCCTTCCCCCATCCCGCACGAATCTCCGCCTGGAGTCTCAGTACTGGTCCGAAAGGACCCAGTGCTGGGTTAGCCCAGTTGTCCCCTCCAATGCTCTGGAGGTACAACTGGTAGGTTGGGGTCACTTGTAGCAGATTCATTGCCCGGGTGAGAAGAGCAGGAGTGATACCAAACTGGCCAATGTCCAGCTGGTCTGGAGTACGCATCGGGGGGCACAGCACACGGGAGAGAAGAAACTGTTCGACACTCACTTTAGACCCTGACTTGAGGTTCGGCCATGCGCGAAGACTCCTGGGTTTCAGCTTTTTGGCAGTCTCGGCCCTATCCCACTGGGCTTGGTTAGCGGGTAACTTCAACAGTGGCATTTTGCAGCTGTGAATCAAGGTACGAAGGACGAAAATCTACTTGGGTGGAAGTTCAAACGATCAGCCCAAAGCAACTGTAGATTGTTATTAAAGTTGAGATAGAAACCAAAAAAAAAAAAAAAAAAAAAAAGAAAAAGAAAAACAAGAACACGTAGAAAATCGCGAAGTGGGGCGTCTTGTTCAGTTCAGTAAAATGCTATCCCCTCTCCCCCCTCCCCCTCCTCACCCGGGACCCGGTATCAGCCTGTCCTCCCAGCACCAACGGCTTGCTTAACATAAGACGAGCAAAAAGATTCACAGGTGCGTTCGCCTTCTTTTCAAAGCTGTATAGCCTTGACTGCCTTATCACCACCTTCCGCTGGTGCACGCATGCCATAAAGAGCCTGGCATGCTGGGGGGCAACACAAGACACTACAAGCACAGGAAAAGGATCTTCCTCGTCGAAAAGATAGGGGTGCACTTCTTTGCCTCTACCGCCACACTCGTCAAGTTCCTCCCGCACGCTTTCGGATTCCACCAGGCGTTGATTCGCACGGCCTTTCATCGCCTCGACAATGGCGCACAGCTCGGAGTACAGGATGGCGTCTTCCCGGGCCTCCTTATCGTCGAGAAGGTGAAAGGCTAGGTGTGAATAAGATTTACCATTGTCGGGGCATGGCTCTACCAGACACTCGGTTGTCCACCAACCGTTGTTACTGTAGTTGTAGGCCAGTATGGCTTCCAGCCAAAACGTGCTTTCTGGGGCTCTGACGAGGAATGATGTCAGGAAATCATTATTCTGTAACAGAGTAGGTAAAAAGATACTTACTCGACATCCTGGAGATTCTGCTTAGACCAGGCCTCATGAGTGGTGCGATCTTCGATGAGTGTAGAGACTTGGCGTACGCGATCAATTGGCTCCATTGGAAAGCCACTGTTTCCAAAGTTCTGGTCGATATCAAGGAATTTCCGGGCCAGCTGGGGATCGACTTCGAGCTTCTCCAAATCCGCCAACTTCATCGGCACAAACCAAACAGGAGGAACCTGACCCAGGGTGGCTACCTTGCTGTCCAAATTTTCAAAGTTGAACTGGGTGACAAGCCGGACGTCTCGGAAATTTCTAATGTCTACATGGCCATCATTTGGCACATTGTCTCTCATGTCCATGAGGCGTTTGAAAAGTCTGCCGAGCACGGTGCGGTTCGATTGAGAGTTGTCGGACATGGTGGCGGTCTTGCGTACGAGATAGCAAAGGGAGAAGTGGTAGAATCAAAGGTAAGACGATCGGCTTGGAGTAGTAGTTGTGTGGTAAGTAGTGCATCAAGTGATGGAAGAGAAGTCCGAAGAGTTTAGTCAGGCGAGGTCGGGTGCCATGAAAACTCAGTGTTTCCCCTTCACCCCCGCTGCCATTCACTGGCAATCAGCAGACTTGGTTTCACTGCTGGATGCACTCAGACTTGATTTGCCGCGCTTAGTAGTCACACTCACACCACGCGGCCTGGCGAAAATGAGAATAAAGTGAATGGAAAGTAAGACTAGCACTTCAATGTCTCCTGCATTCAGTGACCACTCGTTTCAAGCAAGATTTGTCACTCTCGCCTCAATTCTCTTTCTTCTGCAGTGAAGGATGCACCATTCTAGAGAAAACTGTTCTTGCCATTGCAGAACCATAGAGCGTTTTTAGTAAAATCTTTGGGTGTCGGTAAAGCCTATTTCTGTCTTACGTGTGGAGAACTATATAGCCTTTTCATTATTGTTTCTGGACTCAGCTATTACTTGCAGAAAAGCTTGCAAAAAAGCCCAAAGGCACGTACGGTCGCTAGGGACGAGGAATATAGGCATCTAAGCGATCAGTAATTGCTCATGCTCGGGGGCAAATCCTCGTCCCGAGTCCCCCAGTCACTCTCCGTAGGACCTAGCTCAAGCTCGAGGGTCCCTCCATTAAGGAAAAAGTCATGGCTGATCCAATTCTTCGTCCATGCTTGGCCATCCCGCTTGGCGCTCTGGATATAGATCGACTGATACGTAGGGTCGAAGTTGACATTTCGTATCGTGGCGACCTTTCCAGTCTGCTTGTTTTGTATGCTGATCTCCTCAAAGAATGGCGGGCTAATGAGATACACTTCTTGACCATGGACGGGGAACAGACCCATCATGCTAAGAACCGCGAATGCGCCCATGGCTCCCCCATCGTCGTTGCCGGGAATACCAGAGACAGATGTGTTGAACTGGGAGGGGATATAGTAGTGCGCGCGTTGAGTCGATAGCGCGGGCCGTCCGGAGTAATGAAATTGGAATACGGTGAGGAAGGCCTGCTCGTCACCAACGTAAAGTAGACCAGAGTCATGCAGATAAGAAAGGCGGGATGTGAAGGTCTGCGGTCCGCCTAATCGTGTGACCAATGCAGCCATGTCTTGTGGTACAAAGCTTCATAATTTAGTCAGTAGTTGAGCGGAGAGAGGAAAAAGTGTATGAAACTCACAATGAATAGAGCCAAGCGCTTCCCTCATAAGTCTCGTGCCCATCCGCGTTCAAGTAACAAGATGTGAAATTGAGCAATGGGCTGCAGAAGATGGGATCTTGATAGCCCCAAGTCCCGTTAGGGTACCGAGGCTGTAGGAACCCTGTGAAATTGGTATCTTTCCCTTGCAGGTAAGATTTCTGATCGTCCTTGAACATATTCTGCCAGTTGTTGGCACGTAGCATGTACGTTTCGTAGTCACTCTGATGACCCAAACGCTGGGCCATTTGTGCAATACAAAAGTCATCGTACGCATACTCAACAGTCCTCGAGATACTGCGTGTATGTAGTCCAACACCATATGGATCAAAATCGTCCGTCGGAATATAGTTGAGTGATTTCCAGCTAGTTAGTCCACCGCGACCTTCGACATTCCAGTTCGCGGGCTCTACCTCCGCATCTTTCACAACAGCTTCATACGCAGTAGCCCAATCAATATCGCTGACATTCTTCAAGAGAGCTTCAGCGAGAAGAACATCCGCATTTGACCCTCCCTGTGTATATCCCTTACATAACGACATTCGGCAGTCTGGTAAGTAGCCTTCGTGGCGGTAGATGTCCACTAGGCTTCTCATCATTCGAGATTGAGACAGCGGATCGGCTAGCGTCAGGAGCTGATGAACGCCGCGGAAGGAGTCCCATATACTGTCTAGTCGTAAGTAAGATGCGGAAAACTCCGAGGTCCACTCACCAGTAATAGCTGTCATAATACGGCTCGTCACTCTGCCAAAGTGGGTTTTCTCCTGTATAGTCCTGCGGGCTTATCATTGTACGATACATGCCGCTCCAAAATACTTGCTGTATATCGGATGAGACATTTCCCGGCTTAACAGTAAAGGCATTCAATTTGTCCCTCCATGCGTCCTCTGCCGCATTCACTGTTCCAGCGAAGTCAAAATTCGGCTGCTCCTTTTCAGCGTTGGAGCAGGCCTGTTCTACGCTGATGAAGCTCACACCTACTCTTGCCATTAGTGCTTGGTCATCTGTTGACATATTGAATTGGGCAAATGTGCCAGCAGAGAGGGTCGCGGCGGTGTTGCTCCCGTCAGATGTGAGTGATACGGTTGTCTGTCCTTGACCGGCGCGATTGTTGAACCACACACCCGTGTCTCGAACGACACCACCCTTGAAATCTACGCAAAAGTGGAGATCGTAAGTTCCGATACCAAAGCTGGGGCTGAAGGTACCATTTCCTGTCAAGCGACCCGTGGATGGATTTACTGATGCTGTTCCATTCGTGCGCGACTGTGGAAGATCCATGAGATCAACGAGAACCACAGGACTGAGCGACTCGGTCGCGTTTTCGAAGGTGAATCGATACAAAGCCGAATGATTCGTGACCGTCATCTCTGCAAATACACCACTTTGAAGCGTAATACTAAAGTAACCAGGGCGCGCTTTTGGCGAGCCTTTCGTCCAAGGTATCGCCCGATCGGCCTGTTGCCATGTACACTTGTCGAGTGCATCATTTGGACATCCCGGGTGCACAAAAATGGGGAAATTGCCCAAAGATGGCGACTGAAGGGAACAGTCAGCGTGAAACAGCATACCATTGAGCGAGATGACTCACGCCACCGGTTCCATCGTCATGCATGTGGGAGAATCCCGAGACGTATGTCGTGTCATAGGCGAAACCGGCTTGGTTTTCACCAATTGTATCTGCTACCGCTTTTGCCATTCCTAAGGACTGTCAGAGGGCATGGAGACTGTCCGCTACTTTGGGGATTCTGACCAAAGGGCAGAGTTGCCCCTGCAAATGAGTGACCTGTAGAGTTGAATTAGCATGGTGACTTGATAATCTCAAGGAAATATTCTTACCTCCATTGGAGGTACCTATCAGAGGATTAACGTAGTCTAGTACATCGAAGCTCGAGTTACTGCTCTCTTGCCCAGCCACAAAGCCGCAAGCTAGGAAGATTGCTGGTAGTGCTTTGTGTGCCTTTAATGACAAGAGCATTTTGGCAAGACTAGAGCTTCAATTTTGACCCTGCAGGTGCTGCAGAATCCGGAACAACCGGCCATGAAGCCTGGTATTTAACGACAGGAGCGTCGCGTGTAGTGACATTCCATTGTAACCCAAATTCCCCGCGACCTGAGGTCATGAAAGCCCACCCCTCTCTTGTGCGCAGCGTGACTGTATGAGGGGTAGAAGAGAGGAAATTATCATCACTGCCGAGGCCAATCATAGCATCACGTTTCGTTTGACACCCCACTGATACTGGCAGAATTGCTTTAGCTGCAGCGATTGACACGGTCTGATTCCTGATCGGGAACAGTAGCCAGCTACTGCGTGTAACGCTCCATCGGAGTAGTGTGTTGGCCAGTCCCTGCAAGGGATGAAATGATCCGAGAGCCGAAATGCGGAGAGCCGACGATCCCCTGTCATAATGTTCCATCCGCAGTGAGGAGTATTCTAATCGTGGACTGAATCGGTACAAGCTGTCTCATCAGAACTGCAGCAGAAGAAGAACCACATAATTATGGCATCTGTTGCCTAGTACTGACCTTTCAACCTTTCGTACCATTTGACAAGACTTCTGGCGGAGAGCCCTAGCCAGAATTTCCACCCCGATGAGTTCTGTATGTAAGCCGTCTGAAGATGAAACTGAGAGTCAAGTCGCATTCCTTGCACCTTCGGCGAAGACATTGTCTTGACATGATTAAGAATATTTGTAGTAATTAAAGACATTGGAAAGACGCATGTGGGGGGGTACCAAGCATAGAATTTCGAGAGGATTGGTTGAAGTGAGCTCAGTACTTCTCAATTCCCTCATATGAGTCTGAAAGGTATCTGATGCGTGAATTTGCAGGAGAACGCATTCAAATAAATGTAGCTTTCACAAAGTGGTCGTTGTGAATGTCTGGTCACATGCCCGCATCCTGGTGCCATCTGCCATGCATCATGCGATAGTCATTATGATGACATTATATGCAGCTTATAAGAAGCGAGAACAAGCGAATGCACTGAGTCCTTACTCTTCCACTAGAATGTGGACGGTCGCCCTTTCGCAGAATTTTCTCAATCTCGAACATACTCCAGGCTGACCCAGTGCTAGCAGACAGCCATGAGTCGAGAGCAGATTCCCAGTGCCAGCACAGGCCAGTGGCTATCGCAAAGGGATACCTTTGCCATAGAGAATTTGGAATGGGAAGAGGTAAGCTAGTTGCAATTTCCCCCTACTGGCATAGTAATTGAATGCTGATTTCAAAGCCAGTTTTATCGCAATAACAGAAGCAAGGTTCCACATCTGACTGGCTCAGTACAGCAGTATCGTCAAACAATGCGCGAAGCCAAAATGCGTGCACAACAACATGAATCGCCAATAGTTGAAGGACTTAAAGTTTATGATCTGACTACAGACTCTCCGTCGAGCTTGAAATTGAGAATATACAAGCCACTATCGCCTGGAGCAAATGGGGCCGTCATGATCTAGTATGTATTTGTTTAGATCTTATGCTTCGGAACGGTCTAACAGTGTTGTGTCGGACGTGAAGCTTCCATGGAGGCGGCTGGGCCCTGGGAGACCTAGAAGGAGAAGACAATATCTGTCGCGTTCTATGTGTGCAAGCCATGCTAAATGTGGTCAGCGTTGACTATCGCCTGTAAGTGACCCATTGCTTCCAGAGGCTTCGCTAACCATTGAACGATGGGATCATGAAGTGCACCAGAGAATCCGCATCCAGCACCTATTCAAGAAGCGATCACAGCACTTCGTTGGGTAAATCATATCCCACTCAGTCACACTATACTAGATATAGCTAATAGCTTATCTTTGATAGTTATTCCAAAACAATCTGACCCATGGCTTCGATACGAGTAATATTTACGTTGGGGGGACTAGTGCTGGGGGAAACTTGGTATGAACTTTCTGATAATTGATTGGATGATGCTCTTAATAATATAAATGGAATCCCTCTAACCTAGGCTGCTGTACTGTGCCAATTATCTCCGAGCTTGGGAGTCGAAATCCGGGGTCAGCTCCTTCGGTCTCCAGTCTTGTGCTCTAGTGAGCTGCATTGCCAGAGAATGGGACTGAGAAGTATGGAACAGTTCATTGATACACCAATCCTCAATCAGCGCTCAATGAAGCAATTCATTCAGTGGTATCAGCCTTATGATCGGGCAGATCCTACGGTATCTCCACTCTTGTCCCGGGATCTTGGTGGATCTCCGCCATCTTTTATCATGATATGTGGCCGTGACCCGCTCCGCGACGAGGCCCTAGCTTATGCGGACAAACTTGAAGAAAGCGGGTACATTAGTTCTTCCAGATTGTGCGTTTCAATTACCACTGACTACATTGTCTAGCATACCAGTGCGGGTTGCTGTCTACCCGGGAATGCCCCACGCATTCTGGATATTCCCCGAACTGACCGCGACGAAGACTGCTACCCAGGACATGATAAGTGGTGCCAGATGGCTTATTTCTGAGGTTCGCAGTACATAATCACAAATCCGCTGCTAGCTCCATCAAGTCCGCAGTTCAACATCTTAATCACAAGGATCTTCCCCCATCTACCGGTAATTCCGCCCCCGTGATGAACGAAGCTTCATCACTTGCCAGAAAAGCAGTGGCATTGGCAACGTCTTCCGGAGTGGCAAATCTTCCCAAAGGGATGCTTGATAGAATATTGTTCCTGTTCTCGGGTGTGTCCTGACCCCCAAGAATGAGAGGCATCCTGGCCATGTATTAGCGCTCATGCAAGGTAATCATGCGAGCGGATAATCAAGATCAATACATACATTCCAGTTTCGCCTGCAGCGAGACACACAGTGTTGAGACGAATGTTATCCTTTGCAAACTCTGCAGCCAGGCTCTTGGTAGCCTGCGCTCATTATATCGTAAGACTCTCTACGATGAAAGCGAAAGGAAAGGAAAGGAACAGACGTACCGCACTCACACCCCCTTTCGTAGCCGAGTATCAAGCGTACTTCGGCCGAGGGCGAATGGAGCTCATGCTTGAGATATTCACGAAAATACCCCCACCGTGGGCTTAAAAGTAGGGAGCAATAGCCTTGGTCGAGTGATAGATACTCTTAACGTTGACTTTATACATGCGGTCCAGCATATCCTCGGATGTCTCAAGAGAAGGCTATTATGCTATCAGTAAACGTCACAAAAACCAATAAAAGCATTAAACTGAAGTAAGAAAAGCAAAAATTCTGTATACCTAAACTTCATGAACAATCCCAGCATTATTAACCACGATATCAAGCTTCCCATACTTCTCAAGTGCCACTTCACGCACTACCTCCCAATCAGACTCACTCGATACATCTCCTCGAAGAAAGATAGCACGTCCTGGTGGCTCATTATTCTGCGCTCGGAACCCTTCTAGCTTATTGATATCGACAATGATCACGTTCGCGCCCTCGACAATAAATTTATGCACGATTCCTTCCCCGAATCCAGAACCTCCGCCGGTCACAATAGCGGTTTTGTTTTGCAATCTGCCCTGTCCCATTTTACTGTCAGTAGTGTGTAGTAGCTCAGTCGTCGGTGACAGGAGGATAATGCACTGTTATGTTTCTGGTGACTTGCCCCGCCTGCCCGCTTGTTTTGGGCATTGGTGTGTAGGTGCGGGGATAGCAGCTGTGCCCCGTGATCAGAGTCATTGTTTCTATTAGAGCGGCACTGCATTAATTGACTTGTTATGTGTACTCCTTTCTGTTCCCTGCCGTCAAACGATCATTAATCTCTGGATTACTTTTTCGTAGGCCTTTCTGGAGTGTGTGTCCGGGTTACAGCTCACAGACCTTTTAGTTATCCTTTTTAGAAATACGGCAACCTGAAGCTTTGTGGCTAAAAGAACGACAGAGTCTTAGAGGATATTGTACTTGCACTAATCAAACTGACGATCAAAGCACTGCGAAACAATCCACTCGACACTATTAGAAGCTGGTATGACCACTTTCGGTCGATTATCATTGTTCTTCGGGTACTTAATAGGTTCAACTCCCGAGCCAGGCAGCGTGACAACAGTTTGCGCGTGATCCTCCATCGTACCCCAATCCCACCAGTCCAGTGTTTCCCCTGTAAATTGGTATCGAAGCTGCTGGCCAGGTCGGGCGTCTTCAGGCTGACAATCTCCATCCGCATCGAAAGACCAGGAATCTGACCAGTATTCCCCTGGGAAAAGAGTCGCGAACCGACCTTCTTCATTTTCTGCCACGTTGAGCTGTCTGTCAGGATTATCCCAAAAGACATATAGTGACTGATGGATTATGCATGTCTTCCATTTCGGTTCAGTCTCTGGACTAGACTGATCTGGGAAGACACGGCGATAGACGCTGAAGGATCTAAGTGGGCTGAATGCCCAGGTGTGGAACGTGATGGGGTCGGATGAGGGACCGTGGTAGGTGACCTTGATAGACATGTTCAAATACTCGGACTGAGGCCATGTTGGGCTACAGCTAAGCTGAAGGCTCAGGACTGGTGCGCCAGGACTGTTCAATTATTAGCTCACAAGCCTCTTCTCTATCGGGGTTGTAGGGCTTACACTCTTTCGCTTGGATCAATTGGCGGTGGCGTCGGAGGTGAGGGAATATGAGGGCGCCGCCCTTCTTGCACAGTAAAGGTGCGGTGTGCACCACCCGGAACCAAGATAGGGGGCCATTTTGCTTCAGTTCCCACCTTGTCCTGCGGCGTACCCCAATCCCAGTATGGAATCTCTTTGCCCGTCCAGAGAATGGTATAAGTGCGCCCCGGTTCTAGGAGCTTGATCCAGGCATCAGGTACCCCCGTTCGCACATTTATCGTACTGTGATCCCAATTCTTTTTGGCTTCTTCAACATAGAACGATGCCGGTTCATTGGGGAATTGACGAACACTTGGTGATAATGGTGAATATCTCGAGTATTTCTCAATGCCGATCCTCTCGACTTTGCTGCTTTCTGGACTATGAGACAATAAAACATATTCTTCCTTACTGGGATCTATGAAAGGCGACCATCGCAGCCAGAAGCATTGATTGTTTGTGACTCTGCGCAAAGCGACTGTGAACGATTGGGTTGGTTCATCCTCCGTCCGAAGTGTCGGGCTGCTATTTACTAGCTTCAGGACCAACGGTGGGGTATCGGGCCTAGGCAGAATATTTCGTAACGGATCCTTTCAAGATAGTCGTGCTGAACTTACTGCCGATGGTCTTCCTTCCATCTGATATACGTATCCATGTGGAAACAGTTGTGGAAATCGGTTGCCGGGAGTGGGGGTAACAGAAAGTCGAGAAAGTATGGGGTGGAGATCAAGGGTCTTATAAATCAATGTACTAAGTACTAACTGGGATGATTTTCAGGAATTGGCTAACTGAAATTAGTCAAAGTAGGATGCGGGTCAGTTGCTAGCTTACTCCCAGCTCACTTCCTCCGTTTACCACTAACTGTCCACTAACCGATTACTCACCAACCAGGTGACTCAGTTTCGTGGATGTATTTACCATGCATTAGCGTAATCAGGTAACAAAGAGAGAGTTCTTGAATGTGGTTTTAAAGAGCCATATCACAGGTTCGTAGACACTGTCAGTCCTAACTTATGAAATAGGTTCCTCATCATGTCTCGCAAGGGCTCCAGGGCTTGTACCTTGACCATCCGGGAATATATGCATTGGAATCGAAAGAACATCCCAAAGTGAAAATATGGCACGAGTTAATGAACTCTATCAGAACTAATTATCTTTTGATTGTTCTTCTCCCTTGTTCAGATAAACATTGGAGAGACTCTCTCAAAACCACTCAACATATAAAGGAGGAAGATCTATCTAAGCTTGTCCCTCAAACACATACCTTGTTCCTTGTAGAAGCGGATCCGTTTCTCCTCCTCTTACGGTCACTCCCTTCCCACCCACTCTCCTTCTCCCTACCAGCCCCAAGACAGCCAAACCCCCCTGGACTAAAGCAAATATCCCCGAACCTCCGGCCGGCCAACCTACCCGTACATACCAAATAATGGATCGGAACGGCGTTAGGACATTGACCCCATCCGGGAGTTTCACTCGAAACACCCACGACACAGCTATCATGGCCAATACTACCCCTTGCAGAGCGCAGTTCCGCACTCTCACCACACCGGAATTCAGCGGGGGCGAGCGAAATTGGACGGCCTGGGGAATGATCGAACAGATGCTGAGAAGTGTGAATATGGTATTGAGGAAAAAGAGATGAAACCCCATCAATATGGCCACGCCGAAATTGAGTTGACGTTCACCCGGTTCGTGGAAAATGGAGGGGAAGAGAGCGTCGGTGAAAAGTGGAACGACGGAGATCAGGGTAAACGCCGTGTACAGGACGGCGACTAGGATGCGTACCTGACTGGCGTAGGGGGAGTGGGAAGGGGGATAGGTGAGACATAGAATGAAGCTTGGGCCATTTTCAGTTAGTGTTTATCACGGGACGGTATTCGGTTCGGTTTGGCGGAGCGCGGACCGTGGAAAGAAGAGGCTAGTAGCAGTAATCTTACAAGAGCAAGAGCAGCACCCAATCGACACCTAGCTGCAACAGATTCAGCCAATCTCCCACTGTTCTCGGATCATGGACGAAAAAGGCTGGCGCATCGGCGCCGGCGATGGTGCAGTTAACGATTGCGGAGAACCCGACGGTGAACCGTTCGGTGGCATTAAGGAGTTTTAATAATGTAGATGAGGTAGAGGCCGGTGCTCGTCTTTTGAACCCAGATGCGCAAGAGTTGGGGTAAGAACACCGCGATTTCTAGGACGAGGAGGACTCTGTTTGGAGACTCAGCAGGTTGTCTGATACTTACACGCGAAGCCAGTTAGGGCAGGAAGGGGTCATTTTCTGGTGTTCTCTTCACCTTTCCTTCCACGGGCGAAGTCAATTAATAGCTTTGGGAATGGAAAACTCATGAGAGAATTTGGAGCATTTAAATAGAGGGAAACCGTGAGTCAATAAGAAAGACCGCTGGGGAAGAAAGGGGGACATGTCGGAATTTGGGGGCAGGGAGGGGAAGTCTCTCTAGTCTCTACTATTAGGGCGAGTAGGAAGCCCGTCAATGCACCGCTAGGGCCCGCCAAAGTAGCATGTAGCCGGCCATGCCTCCTGTCAGTAGGGCGAGAGCCGCCACTCTATGCATGTTCCAATCCTTACCAGTAACAAACCGACTAACATTTGGGTAAAATAAACACTAGGATAATGGTAAAATTGCATGGTGTGTTTGTACTTCCCTCAAAGCGTCTTCTTGGCATTCGTCCTGGTATTCTGACCTCAATTTCCGGCAGGTAGTACTGGCGGTGATTTTTGTACAGTTCAAACCCGTATAAGATGCCTGCCTCTCCTTGGTTATACACCAACATGCCAGGTTACGACAGGAATTGGATGTGGCGAGGAGATGATACCTGGTATCAACGTCGGCTTCGGATCTGGTCTGTAGCCTGACTAATTTGAGTTTATCAATCGGAATGATTTCGGAGTGTCACACTATATCGGTGTCCTCTGGATAACAGGGCCTATAGTCCTATCACTACAGGTAGGGCTACTCTCAATTACGTTGAGCATATGCCTCATTATAGATGCTGTGATGGCACAACTGCAAATGCGGCAACCCAATTACAGGCTGAGTTCTTGCCCAATGAAGTAGCCCAGGACAGCCTCTTCTTCACTGCCCTGCTGGCTAGCAATGAATGTAGTATACATAACCAGAATAGCAATATCGGGGCACTAACGACTAACTGAAGGAAAGCGAAGGCAATAGTAACGGTACCCTTTCGAAGAGAAAGATTGAGAATTAATGAACCCTAAAGATGCGTGTCAGGTAGGAGGGTCAGACAGTTTTTGAACCAGTGCGACCAGTAAGACACAGCAATTGTATATTGGTTTTTATCCGACTAATCTTCCGCATTGTCCTGAAAGAGGTGTCACGGATGCTAGCAAATGTTAGGACGTTTCGGCTACAGCCGGCCAGAAGTACCGTCTCGGATAGCGGTGCCGACATTTCTCCGAGCGAAACCCAGGCCCGATCCCGGTGTGCCAAGCTCGGTGACGACGAAAGCTCCCTCGTTCAGCCATTTGGAACTAGATATCTCGATTGCACATTGCATTCTACATAAGTGTATGAACTGCGAGGTCTGCTTGAGCTACTCCTCTCATTAGGATGAGTAGTATCGTCTGCTTTGCCCCCAAGACCAGCCTTGACTCCTTGTTTGACGCCACAGCAAGCGTACACCATGCCGGGAGTTCCATCAAACAAGGCATGTGAGCGATGTAAAAAGCGCCATCTGAAGGTTAGAATCGCATGTTACAAGTTACTTGCTGCGTCAGTCTGACCATCTCAGTGTGATGAGACACGCCCCAGCTGCCAGCGTTGCACCAATGCTGGAGTTGAATGCCCGGGATATGTACAAACTCGCAAGTTTATCGATCAGGGTGCTTCTGTTCGGCGTCGATATGCGCCATATCAGCAGGATAACCCCCGACGGGATCCTTCACATAGTCCCAATAAAGTGAGTACATGCACGAGGGTATAACTACCCGTTCTCGTGTTCGCCCGTAAACATCGGTAGTCAACTGCTGCTCACACCGGTTAGGTGACGCGAGAAAGTCCACCAAATATCGGAGGAGCTGCAATCAGAAGCAATGCTGCTAATGATCCAATACACACGCGTGTAGCTGCAACAGCTGTAGCCGATCAGCCAGCCGACGCTAGTCAAACCTATTTTGGTTCGCCTATAGCCGAATCAAGACGTCAAAACCAGTTACAAGCGGAAAGTCAGCATAGCCCGAACGCTGGCGCTGGTGCTGCTGCAGTGGCTGAACAGCCATTGTCGGGGATGCATAGTCGTGCCGCTCAAGTGGCTCACACTCATAGTAACCCTTTTGACGATAGACTTCGAACCCACGGGGATGCACCCATGTCTTATCATGAAGACCATGCAACAGCTGATGATCTATTACCATCTCATGATAGCCAATCCGTCCAAAGTGATAAAGAGGATTTTCATGAGGTGGTATCAGAGTTAATGACCGACTCTGAGCATGAGATATCCTTTCTTATACGCCATTACTCGCAAAATATCGCTCCATGGTTCGTAACGGCCCATTACTGTATTCAATCTACAATCTAACATAGTCATGTTGTTAGGCTGGACCTTTCCGATAGTAGAAGGTTCTTCACAGCATACGTTCCCATACGAGCGATAGATTATCCTTACGTGAGATACTCGATCGGCGCCTTAGCAGCAATACATCTGGGCCAGATGAAGGGCGCGACATGTCCGGAAAACGTTGGCATGTTTACTAGCCCAGCAGCCATGGAGACGTATCCCAACGCGCCAGAAGTGGACTGGTATCTCAAGGCGGCAAACTACTACTATATGTCAATCGCGCGCATGAACTCAAGCATGCCAGAATCCTTTGCGACTCTGTCCAGTACCGCTGTCCTGGAAGGCCCCGTCGAAATCGTGAAAACCTGGCTGCACCGCCATGCAGAGACTACTCCTCCCTCCGCAAGAGACGACACTTTCTGGCGGAAGACAGAGGCCTTGCTAGCCACTGCAACCATGCTCACCATGTATAAGATCATCAGCAAACCCGGAGAGGAATGGAATCTGTAATTAGCCCCAACCCCTTACCCTACACCACCACGCCCTGTATCTAACCAACATACAAACACAGATACCTCACCGGCGTCAACTCCCTATTCGAATCGCTCCTCCACCTCAACAGCAACTCCTCCGACCCCATAAAATTCACCCACGGCATCAACGCCTCATTCTGGAACTTCGCTCGACAAGACTACCTAGCCTCCTACTTCAACCGCCTCCCCACCTACCTCGACCCAACCAACCTCCCGCTCTGGCACGCAGCCGGCCTCACCTTCACCGAAGCCGGCGAAATCGATCCCTCAAGCAGCACCTCCTTCCCCACCTTGGAAGACTTCGCCTCCAACAGCCTCACCTACCTCCTATCCAAGTTGACCAACTTCCTCGCCCACCTCCGATCTTCCCAACTAGACCAACTCATCACCCACCCATCACCCCAAGGCAGAACAACCCCAACCACACCCCCAACATCCACCTCCACCTCCACCTCTACAACCTGGCTCAACCTCTCCGTCTCCTTCCAATCCTGGGTCGACCGCATGCCCGAAACATTCCGCCCGTGTTTACGGCTGCATACTCCCCGTCCCGAAGTCTACTACTCCCTCCCATCCTGCGCATCAACCATGCAACAATACCATTTCGGTCGGCTAGCACTATGTCTCAATCGTCCCGCGGACGTCATCACAAGCCCCACCACCGCTTTCGACCGACTACAGGGGTACAGGGAGGTCACGAAGGAGGTGGATTACAGATGTAAGGAGATTGTGGGGATAGCGGCGGCGAGGCCCCAGAGCTGTGCAAGGATTTATATGCCGGCTTTGCTGTTCGCTGCGGGACAGTGTTTAGAGAAGCAGGAGGAGAGGCAGGTTGTTGAGGAGTTGTTGTGTGGTATTGGGGCGGATTTGGGATGGGAGACGGATTCGGAGATTCAGAGGTTGAAGGGGTTGTGGGAGGAGAGGTAGATAGTTTATATTTCTTTTTCTTTTGTGTGGTTGTGAGGGATGTTTGGGGTTGGGTTTATGTATTTGTAGTGGGCTGGGTGGGTAGTGTTGATGTGTTTGGGTTGTATTCTCTGATTTGTGACTTCCTGGATACAGTTGAGTGCCAACACGGCAGTTAGGAAGAGCCGAAGCTGAATCACTAACTTCAGAGATTAAGTATATGATTGGATGAAACTTGCAGCCAGTCAGATAATAGTATTATAATGGTTGTACCATCCAACAGAAGAAAACCAGATAAACCGACACAAAACCTGCCTCACATCTCCCCGACCTCATCTATTCCTGTTCCTAGCCATGCATAATCACCCACATAGTACATTGTACAAAGTCAATGACCACTCAAAAAACCAAGTCTAGAATCCATCCATTGACGTAGTCCCATCCAGCCATCAAACCCCACAGCGGCATATTCCCGCCAACTCGACCGGCAATGAAAGTGGAGAAAGGAACGAAATCCGGGGAAGTGGGTCTCCTCCCAGCACAGACATCTCCGTGACAGACAAGCAGTCGCTATAAGAACCAATGAAGGACCCATGCTTAGAAGATCGGCTATAGCAGCTAGTTTCATCCTGGGTGTCCCTTTCGGAAACCCCCGCTCTGGGGTCGTATCGCCTGTCTGGGGTTCCTTGGGTCGGCTATGGGGGTGTTGGGGTCCGGGGGAATTCCGCATTGGGCGGGAAGGGTCTGAGTGTTGGCATGGGTGGTAATGCAAGGGATTTGTGGTAGATAAAGGGATGATGGCTTTAAGATTTGGAGGAGATTTTAGGGCTTTTGAGAGCTCGCTGAACTGAAGTAGAAGAATTTATTGTGTGGAATATCGATATGGAGATGAATTATGATGAAGCGGTAAGTGGTCCTTGATCATGGGTTGAAATGCGAAATACTGACAAGGATGGTGCGTAGGCTCTCCATCAGTATGTTAGATCTCTTCAGGAAGTGATCGCTGCTAATAATCTCCAGGATTGAGCGGGAGCTCAATACTGAGATCTATCCAGGGACAGAGATCATGGCCGATGTTGGGTCGCACCACTTCGTGAAAGCGTCGTCGCGATCAGATCGTGTTCTCGTCCCGCAGCCATCGCAAAGCCCGCATGATCCTTTGGTGAGTCTTATTGCAGTCGGAGCAATATGAGATCTGTGAGGCTAATCGAATGCCTCAGAACTGGAGCAAGACGTGGAAGATAACCGTTATCTGCCTGTCCACTGCGGTTTCCTTCAGTCAGGGTCTAGGACCTTT